CTACATATTTTTATTGCGTTATAATGATGTTATATTATGGTAATACATTTTTTTGTAAGTCAAATCAATGCATTTTCCCTTAACGTGAACTAGTATGGGAACCGCGCAAGTATGAGCACTTTGATTAATGATCTAATGATTGTCTATATAAATATATATATTAATTGTTAATAGAATCATCAACAAATCGTATTCAAATAATTCAAAAAAGTTAAATAAAATATAGTTAGTGAAATTTTAATATATATATATATACACACACACACACACATGCACGCACGCGTGCGCGCGCACACACACACACACACACACATATATATATATATATATATTGAGAGAGATTTGTTTAGTAATAAAGTTGTAAAACTAAATAAAATGAGTAATAATAATGACGGGAATATTAAGAAATCTGACACAAACTTAAGAATAAAAAATACTCCACATAAAGATATGTTTCCTTCAAAGGATGATGTACATGTACCATTTTTCATCCTCAACACACACATTGACTTTAAAAACACAATAGTGAATGAACCAACCATACGATATGTAAAAAATCACATACCAAACTTAAAGACTTCAAATCTTTATAACCCAATAGATAAAATTATAATGCAATCAAAATCAAAACATGAACATACATAAAATTATAATACGACTAAATTTACGACAAAAACATACTTAAAAATATAATCCAATCAAAATCATGATACAAACATACATAACATTCTAATAAATTCTAAATTACAAAACAAACTTGCATAAAATCTTTATCTTAGATCATAATCAAAAATTCCCACAACCAAAACTTGAAAACTTCAAATTTTCAAGACTTGATATATAAACATTAAAGAACTCGAAAACCTACAAACCAAAAAACGTTCAACATAAGTAAAAATTACATAGTGAACTTGACCATTTTAAATCTTCACTTAATACATAAGAGTTACAATGCAAACAAAAATCACGATACAAACATAAATAAAATTATAATGCAATCAAAATCATGAAACAAATCAATATAAAATTATTACCTTATATTGCAACCAAAAAATCAAATATTGAACTTGAAGACTTCTTCAAATCTTCATGACATAATGCATAAAAACTATAATACAATCTAAATAACGATACAAACATACATAAAATTATAGGAGAAATGAAAAAAAAATATAAAGATTATCAATAGTAAAACAGAAGAAAAACCAAAGAGAAAGAAAATAAATTTAGAGATGTATGAGATAGAGATAGAATTTAAGAGGGTGTGAGAGATGAAGATGAATAAATAGTTGTTGTATATATATATATATATATATATATATATATATAAATAATTGATTGGAAAAGATGAATGGTTTGGAGTTATATCATTTGAATCAATATAGAAGGAGATGAATGGTTTGGAGTTGAATGCAAACATTTAACAAAAAAACATAAATTGACAAAAAAAAATATAGTAGTGGATATTGAGAAAATGAAGGAGAAAAAAGAAAAATGGGGTTCTAGGTTTTAGAAGAAGCTACCTCAAACACTCATGGTTTCTTCTTTAATATATATAAGATTAGAGGGTGTTGCAATTTTACCATAAGATAAAAAAGTTTTAGTTTAATACAATTGTGTTTATTTAAGTGGTAGATATATTTCATATGATAATTTAACAAACATAAACGTTTCATATATGAAACAACACTATATAAACATCGTAGTTTCTCATGTATTGTTTCATATGTGAAATACCGCATAAAACTTGGTTTGTATATTTATATGATTTACTAGATTTGTAAATGATTACGTGTATTAGAGATGGTCAAAAATGGGTCTCGGGTGGACCCAAATCTGTCCCGGTCCCAAAATCCATTTCCATAACTAGTCCCGCTCCGGACCAAATATCTCGGCCCTGTCTCCATGGTTTGTAAGTGTTCCCGGGTATTTTCTTAATCGATTTTTAATATATAAAGATTATTTTTAAAAATATAAAATGTTATTCTAATACACTTTAAAATATGTATTTGGATCAATCAAATGCACTTAAAAAATACGAATTATAACGAAAATTGTGAACGTTTTTTACGTTTGTAAGTTGGTATTTTTCTCGTACACCATATGACTTATATATAGTCTATAGAGCGTCAAAAAGACCAAAAAACGGTTATATGACCTCCCAACGGTCAAAAACAATAACTTTTTTGAAAATCGGGCTGGTCCTAACCGGTCCCAGTCCGAGCCTTATTTTTGGATGTAAAGCTTAAACCATGAGCCATGTCCAGTCCCTACCTGCTACCGGGACCGGTCAGTCTCGGGCTTGGCTAGGCCCATTTAGCCATCTCTGACGTGTATACAAATATTTAGCTTGTAAACCTTAGGACTTAGGACTTAGACCTACGAGGCCACAATTTTGCTCTCCCATATCCTTATCAGGCCCAAGTAGGTCCAAACTTACTTCTATAGGACGGCCTTGAAAGCCCATTTAACTTTAATACGGCACGTTTCTTTCTTGGGCCTATTTTTCCAAAAATATTTTTTTAAATGTTAATGATATTATATATTTAGACAAAATGGTTGATTACCAGTAACTCCAATCAGTCTCACATGACACCCGTCTCCAAGGATACCAATATGAAAAGGAATATTTGGCTCAATCAACAGTTGAGACTAGCGGAAGGTCTGTGATCGAACCAATGATTTGTCTTGTATTTGAGCAAAAGCCTCCACATTTTTCCCAACTGAGCTCCACGTCATAGACAGTATGATATTAAATATTATTTTGTAGTAACGGATTGTTAACGAAATTTAAAGGGTAATTACTAACCTGTGTTTTAGCCTCGGTCTTTTAATTTAATGATTAGGTTGGCAGACGACGAAAAGGGTAGTTGTGTCTTGTGTGGGCCCAGAATGGCGAAAGGCATTCACGGACTGCCACGTGCCGGGTAAATGTGGGGTTCATTTGGAATCGTACGGATATGGTCCCATATGGATGACCCGAGAGAGCTCCGTTATCTTGTTTCAATTATTTTGGTTTTGCGGCAAGGAGACATGCTTCTCCTCTTCCATCTTTTTACAAATTAAATAAATTGTATAAATAAATATTTTTATATATAAAACAACACTTACGAAAATACAATATTTATATATTATTGTTCAAACGTAAAAATGTTTTTACATGTAGAAAAAAAAATAGTCATGACGTTTTACATATGAAATAACATTATAGAGATATTGTTTAGGGTACGTATTTGTTTCTTATATGTATATGTGTGTATACAAGTTCAAACGAAAACAACTTTATTTTATGAGAAACCGAGAAACATCTTTTTTTTATCATAGTCAATCACATAAGTGATACTGAATCAGCTACACGGATGACCTTTATCCCAACTTAGATTGCAGGTAAAGTCGCACGTACATTATTAAATATGTGATAAGGGTGTTCTTGATGTGATATTATAATCAATCGTCTGTGATACTAAATCAAATATGCATAAGACCTTTGGCGTGACCTAAGTCGTAGAGATATCGTCTGCACACCACCAGGTCCCCTCATATGTATTATCATATATGATAAGGGTGATTTCACACTTTCATAAAATAGAGGTGCTCTCGTTTGAACTTCCATCCACACACAAATAGATGAATGATCGTGTCAGAATAAGAGTTACGGTGAGAATAATTTTAAACATTTAGATGAGTTGACATTTTAATTTAACTTAATTTTTTTAAGCTACACCCATCTAGTTTCAGCTAACTTCAACTACATCATCTATCGTTATCTTCATTTTTTAAGCTATTTTCACGAACTTTTACATGCATTTAACCATTATCACATGAATAAATTTGTTAAAGTTGGATCATAAGGATAAAAGTAATTGAATATAAATAAATTACGTGAAACAATTTCATCATATCAAACAAGTTCATGAGATTTTTTCACTTTCACTATTTGTACAAATGTATTGGTTTGCAAAATATCCCTCCCACCGTCACCGACCTAGACTTCCAACTCCTCTGCTCCGGCCAGCTTCCTCCTTTTCTCCCTCCTCGCTATCTTCCCATCCTACAATAACGAATTGTATATATATATATATATATATATATATATATATATATATRTGTGTGTGTGTGTGTGTATGTGTGTGTACAATATCGCGGATTCGCGGTGCCTCGTCGAAGAAATGTTTCCTCGCCGGCAACACTCTCTCTCACCGGCACCGTCTGTCCCTCATTTTCTTGCTCCCCATACACTCCATTATCTCTTCCTTTCCTCTCTCTGATTATGTCGTCGAACAAATGTTTCCTTCCGCCTCTACACATGCCATTGAAGTTCATGGATCTAGATCTGGAGTTATCAAGATTTTGTCGAGAAATCGAGGGAACATAGATTTTGATCTAGATTTTCATCTATTTAACGCCAACATCCAAAAAAACATGGTTTAAAAGGTAAAACCACGACGAAACATACCCTTGTGTAACCGTAATATTTATCGGATGTTTGATAGAAGATATTGAGGGATGGAGAATAAGAATGAATCATGATATTTGGTTCAATATAAACAATGCAACAAACGATTACTTATAAGTGGGTAATAATTACGTAAATGTGGGTAATAATTATTCTAAGAGTGTCTTTTGGTACACTTAAGAAGATAAAATATAACAGAATAGAGATTCTTGTTTCATGTTTGACATGACTTTTATATGGAACAGACGGTAACAAAGTGAAACATTCAAGTTCCACCTCTACCCCATGAAACGAGATGAAACAGACTTATATTATACCAATATAACCTCAAAATAAAATTTAATTCTCTTGTAAAATTGTTATTTTAATCCTTATGATTTTAAAATTACGGTTTCCGTCCTTATAGTTACTTTAGTCCCCAAGTTTTCAAGTTATCTGATGCAAGAGGCATTTGCAGGATCAATGGACAGAGAATCATTCATTATGCATATATCTTCCTTTCCTATTATTCACAAGAATCATGCATTCTGAATACACCTTCTGTTCTTATCATTCACAAGAATCTACAAAATGAATCAACAAATTCAACTAAAAAGTCAAACCTCAGATTAAGCTCATGGATCATGGTTTTGATGATGAATCTACAGGTTTCCATGAAGCTAAGCTCAAGCAGTGTGGGCTCTACGCATGTTAATCCGATCCAGAACGCCTTTGGCCTTTCGTTTCGCTCTCGAACTCCCGTTTTCCACAATCTTTGAAATCGTTCCGTAACGACCTTCTTCTTCCCGCATCTCTTTCCACGTGTTTTCATCTTTCAAACAAATCCGATGAACTACCGCGATACAATTCTCTTTATTCTGTTCACACTTTGTCTCCTTAATCAACAAAAACAAACTAGAAACTGCCCCAAGTTCCGCCATCTCCACCACCGCCTTTTGGTGGTCCGATAGCATTGCAAGAATCACAAGCAACTCGTCCACGTGAACCCTCTCTTCGATTTTCTTCAAAACCACTCTCACCGCCCCATTTTCCACCGCCCGTCCTTTGTTTTCATCGTTGATACACAGGCTAAAGATGGCGGACGCCACATCCTTCATCGCCAACGACTGCCCTTCTTCCAAAAGATCAATCAGGGGCTTTAACGCACCAGCTTTACCGATGAGCGATTTGTTGGTATCGAGAGCCGATAAAGTGCAAAGCGTTGCTGCCGCATTACGCTTTGTTTTAATCGTCCCTGATCTTAACGCGTTCAATAGAATCGGAATCACCAGTGGTGTTTCTGCCACTGTTTTCTTGTTGGTTTCATGGATTGATAGATTCATAAGCGTCGTGATCAAATATTGATGAAGATTGGGGTCAATTTCGGATTGGGTCAACGGGCTTAGCAATTGAGGTATGAATTCTGTATATTCGCTAAAATGCGCCCGAAAAGACGGGAGTCGTTTCGTTAACGAGCGTAAGGCCCATGCGGCTTCCTTCTGTGCGTCTGAAGTGGCCGACGTTATAGTCTTCAAAAGCGCTAAGAGGAGAGGAGGATGATCAGGACTCGGATACCGAATTCCACGATTCTTGCACCATTTCGATATCATAATTTGAACCAAGTGATTCGGGATTAGATTTGGGCTCGGAAGAAGTTGTTGGGTAATTGGGCAAGCTCTGTTTCCTTCTTTCAACCATTTCTGGATTGAACACCGATCATATGTCTGCAAATTAGCAAGAAAACAGTTAGCATTCGCCAACACCACAGTAAGGAAACAGAATCAACAGAACTAAATCCCCAAATTCAACACCAAAATCGCGATCAATTATCAACCCAATTAGTGGAATTCTGAAATCGAATTCTGATTTGCAGGAATAGTTTCTTGAAGATGAACAATGGTGGAAACTATTCAACAAGAAATCAAATTCTTGATTCTTGGACAGCAAAGAACCCTGAAGCTAACCGGTATAGAAGAATGGTCTAGAAAGCGTGGTGCGCCGACGGGTTTTTTCCGGCGCTGCAGTGATTTTTTTTTTTTAAATTAAAGCGATGCAGTGACAGAAATCGACAAATCGTCCCCTGAATCAAACCCCTCGATAAATTTTCATATAAAAACAACGATCAATGTGTCATCATCAACACCCACAACAAGAAAATATAAGAAAACCCTAAATGAAAATGAGCAGAGAAATTACCACTCCGGTGGAGACGATAACAGGGTCTCTCATGATATTTTTAGTAAGAGGGCAATTGAATTCTTGAGGATAAAAACCAACAATACGATTATGGGGTTCAAGAATAGAAGACGATCGTTGGTTTTCTCTCTTCTTCACATCTTTCAGAGTTTGCAACGTCTGAATGGCTCTATCGACATTTAGTGCAAATCCAGTCTCGTCCTCTGATGGCGATTCTTCAATAATCGATTCAACAAGTCTCTGTAATTCACTCTTCAAGTCTCCGATCAGATCCTTATTGGAAATCCCAGTTTCCGCCATTAGAGATACACGCATAAATCTCTGTAAATTTTGGTTTTCCTTCGAAGAAGATCGCCCAAGAAGGGTGACGATGGTTTTATCACAGGTGTGATTGCCAAGAAAAGTTGAACACAGTGTGATTGTGTTCTTTCTGCTATATTTATCGCTCTCTCTGTGTTGAAATTTCAGAGAATCTTCACAAGCAAAGCGTATGGATGTGTGGGTTTTGAAGAAAAAAGAATGATGATGGTGTGTGGGTGTGCGGGTAAGAGAGAGTAAACATATATACAGCGTTCCTTCTGCTTGCGTCATGACACCCTTTTTTCCAATTGGAAACCAAATTTTTTTAATAAATATTTTATTGATTTATTTTAATAAAAAATAATGGTTTTTTTTTTATTAATTTGGATATCTAACCCGATTAATCTTCAGGCGACCACCTGTTTTGCAAATAGTCTGAAGTCACTGCATTTAAACCTACGTGACCATAAGTGAATTTTTATTCCTCATTGGATTTGAACCTAAGACCTTCTAATATTTTTAACCTTTAGAGCTAAGCTCAAACCAATCAAGCACACATTTACGGTTGAAAAATAATGGTTTTCCAGTGGTTTAAATCATTTTATTTAAATTTTCCACAAAAGCCAATTTACATTATTGTCCTTGTATTTCTCTCATTGGACCAGATTGCCCCTCTCAATGAGAAATGAATCTAGATCTCCAATAGTTATGTTAATAAAACAGTAAAAGTCAAAATCTCTAAAAAGGTTGACTCCAATTCCGATAACTATTCCATTTTAGCGGTTCTAGCATTAATTATATAATTAATATATTCAATATCTTAACAACTTTTTCAACAATCTTTCAAACAACCAAGAAAGAGTTCAAGTGGTGGGTCATTCTCATTATCTCGCCCTTCATAGAATCACGGTTCACAGTCTTAGTTGCACCCTCATTATCTCACACTTCACATCGTATCAATTACAGTCAATTTGAGTTACGGTTTGAGGTAAGCGCGGATTCACATTTGATTTGAGTTGGTGTCAGAGAAGTTATGATTTATGATTTGGGAGTCCGAGAATATGATAAGGACAGAAGGTTTAAGCGTAAATTTTTATTTCCGAATAAAAAATGGTGGCATATATCGTATCAGAAAGGGTATACAGTTAAGGAGAGGCTTGAAGTCGGAAAACCCCTTGGCACATACAAGAATCCGCCTTTGGGTGAGACAAAAAGCAAACTATACGTCGTTTGTTCTAATCGGTTTATAGATTAACAACAGGGTAAAATATAATGATTTTTTTTCACAGATAATGCAACGTATGTTCAATTATTTTATGTTATATTTATTTTACCTGATAAATAAAGCTATGATAATCAACCAATTTCGATACAATATTTTCACACATAATCAAGATTTTACGATATAACTCAATAATTTGACTTCCAGTTATAATATTTGCAAGCCAAAAAAATATTTAATAATAAAAAATTTAAAAAAAACCCGATAAAATTGAAATAAAAATAAAAAATATATATATTCCACTAATTTATTATTAAAAAAAATCATCACTCAAGTAGAAGACACATCACATGTTGGATACAAACCCCTCGTTTTCACATTTGGAAATAAATATTTTATTGATTTATTTTAATAAAAAAATAATGGTTTATCGGTACAGGTGGGGTCAGAGTTGACGGTGGAAAGTGGTGATTGTGGGCGCAATTACGGATTCCAGGAACAATTTCAAAGAAACTATGTGGACCGGACTCTTATTGACCGCCGTCCGTACCAAATCTTATTTTCAAATTCACAAAATATCCACAAAAGTTTACATAATTATCCTTGTATTTTTTTGGTTAGACCAAATTGCCCCTCTTAGTAAGAAATGAATCTAGATTTCCGATAATTATCCTAAATTTATTAATAAAGTATTAAAAGTTAAAATCTCTAAAAAATATTAGAATTCAATTCTGATAATTATTTCATTTTAACAATTGTAACATTAATTATATCATTAATGTATTTAATATCTTAACAACTTTTTCAACAAACTTTCAAACAACCAAACAAATTTTTAAACAAATTTCATATTTCTAAAAGAGAAAAATGACAATTTATAAGAAACTTTATATAAAATGATAATTTTCAACAATATTTTATGTAAAATAATATGTTAATTTTTGTGTGTGAGGGGACATAGATAGTATGTTCCAACAATTTTATATATATATATATATATATATATATATATATATATATATGTTTCAAAAAGTGCTTTCCGTCAATAAGCACCAAAAATCTTATATGGTAAGAAACAATACAAGGACCGCGAATCTTACTCAATGAGTGAGAGGAAATGGGCCGTTTACTGAACACTTACTTGGTAAGTGCTTAACACATAACTCTCCTCATCGGAAGAACATGAGAATGGTCAAGAATCTTATCGGGTAAGAGTGATGAGAATAATGGAGAGTCTTACCCGGTAAATGAGAATGACGACTCTTACCAAGGTAAGTGCTTACCTAGTAAATTGTTGCATTTGATATGTTTTGATGTACTAAAACTTACACATCTAAATAAATTATAGTGTTGACTCCTATTAGACACAATCGCATTCTGTGTTCATCCTTCCTTAGCAACTACACCTGCATCAGTTAGAACCATCGTCACCCTTCGTGGGTGATCTTGTTCGAAGAAAACCCACAATTTACAGAGATTTCTACGTATATCTGCAATGGAAAAGGATCCAACCGACGTCTTAAAGAAGGAATTAAAGATACTTGTTCAAGCGATTATTGAATCAGATGCCGAGAATGGATTTGCGGAAAATGTCGATAGAGCCATTCAGATTATGCAAACTCTCAAGAAAGGAGAAAACCAACAATCGTCTTCTTCGACTGTTTGCCCTCAAGAATTCAATTGTGCCCTGTTTCAAAAGATATCATGACGGACCTGTTATCATCTCCACCGGAACGGTGATTTCTCTGCTCATTTTCTTCTAATTTCTTCTTGTTTTTATATGAAAATCTATTTCACGGGATGATTTGTCGATTTCTGCCATTGCATGGCTTTAATTTTCAAAAACCCATCCACCCTTTATAAACCACTTCTGTATACTGGTTAGGTTTAGGGATCTTTGCTGGCCAAAAATCAAGAATTTGGTTTCTTGTTGAAGAGTTTCCCCCACTGTTCATCTTCAAGAAACTAATCCTGCAATTAAGAATTCGATTTCAGAATTCCACCATTGGGTTGATGATTCATCGAGATTTTGGTGTTGAATTTCGGATTTAAGAAAAGCTCTGTTGATTCAGTTTCTTTCTTATAATTTGCAGACATATGATCGGTCTTCAATCCAGAAATGGTTGAGATAAGGAAACAGAACTTGCCCCATTACCCAACAACTTCTTTCGAACACCAACCTAACCCCGAATCACTTGGTTCGAGAGATGATATCGCAATGCTGCAAGAATCATGGAGTTCGGTATCCGAGTCCGGAACGTTCTTGGAAAGAAGACGGGTTAACAGATGCCAATTACGATCTCCTCCTATCGCTTCTCAAGAAGCTATCGTCGTCCACTTTAGCCGAACAGAAGGAAGCGGCACGGGCCTTACGCTCGTTAACGAAACGACTCCCGTCTTTTCGGGCGTATTTTAGCGAATCTATAGAATCCATACCTCAATTGCTAACCCCATTGACCGAACCCGAAATCGACCCTGATCTTCATCAAGATTTGATCACCACGCTTATGAATCTATCGACCCACGAAACAAACAAGCAGATTGTTGCGGAAACACCAATGGCGATTCCGATTCTATTGGACGCGTTAAGATCAGGAAGGATGGAAACAAAGAGTAATGCGGCCGTTACGCTTTCCACTTTATCGTCTCTCAATTCCAACAAATCGCTCATCGGAAAAGCCGACGCTTTAAAGCCGCTCATCGATGTTTTGGAAGAAGGGCAATCGTTAGCAATGAAGGATGTCGCCTCGACCATCTAACCTGTGTATCGACGATGAAAACAAAGGACATGCGGTGGAAAATGGGGAGGTGAGAGTGATTTTGAAGAAAATCGAAGAGAGGGTTCACGTGGACGAGTTGCACGTGATTCTTGCATTGCTTACGAGCCACTATAAGGCAGTGGTGGAGATGGCGGATCTCGGGGCGGTATCTTGCTTGTTTAGGTTGATCAAGGAGACGAATTGTGAACGGAACAAGGAGAATTGTATCGCGGTGGTTCATCGGATCTATTTGAGGGACGGAAGCAAGTGGAAAGAGATGCGGGAAGAAGAAAGTCATTACAGAACAATATCGAAGATTGCGGAAACCGGGAGTTCGAGGTCGAAACGAAAGGCCAACGACATTCTGGTTCGGATTAAGATCCTTAGAACCCACACTGCGTGACCATGGAAACCTGTAAATTCATCATCAAAACCATGATCCAATTTTGTAAATCCTTTTTTGGGATAAAGAATTCGTTGTGAATAATAAGAATCACAATACTTTTCAATTATATCCTTATCCTTAACTAGAAGAGAGAGAAATATATATTACGCTCCTTATTATTAAGGGTAAAATTGTCATTTGATTAATTAATAACCGTAACATTTATGCATTCCAAAAAACATGTGCTTTTTTCATAAATATGGAGAGAAGGGGAGGGGGTATATAAACATTGTTTTGTAGTTTAATCTACAAGGATTGTAGAAGACTTTGACAACTCTACACCTTTTAGTTTGACTTAATAAAGGTTGGATCTTTATGTCCTTATGTATCGATATTCGGTATCTTGCTGTTTTTATTACTTGTTTAAGATGGAAATGAATTGATAAGTGTATGCTTGTACGAGTCTCCATTTGTTAACAAACTGAGAAATTTTATTTCTATATAAACCTCGCAACAGATACATTCATAAGAACACATGAACCTCTCATATGATGTAGAGTAAAGTGGAACCCAAAATTATATATGATCTTATACCAATAGCCCTGCAAAATACCAATTAATAAATTCTAAGAAATCCCTTAAAATACCAACAACGCCCATATTATTTTTCAAATCCCATATTAATAATTCTTTTTTTGGGATAAAAATTCTTGTTCAGTGTTGACTCACACCTTCCCCTTGCTAGAGCTCTCAGTGTGATACTTTCCTGAAAAGATTCAGTTATAAATAAAAACGAGGGTTAGACCAAAGGTCTAGTAAATACCCTCTAATACGGGTATAAAATATAGTATTTCCACATGAGAAAAATGATATGAGATTCAATGCACGCACTTGCCCACTTATAAAGCTATATGAAACAATTAAGTAGCATTTAGTATGCAGACATGATTGGATAAAACTGGACTATTTATCATGGCTTTATGATATATGAGTTGTTAACAGGGACATTACATACTACATAAGCAAAGTTTTCCTTGGAAAAGGTATGGAGTTGTCAAAGTCTTCTACAATCCTTGTTAGATTAAACTGCAAAACAATGCATATATTAAAATGCATAATTGTTACAGTTTAATTAATTAAATGACAATTTTACTTTTAATAATAAAAAAAATAATGTATTTCTTCATCTTATAATTAAAGATACAGTTATATTTACTTTAAAGTGGACACGTGGACATTCGGAATACTATTGCCCTATATATGCTTTTACCTTTCTGAAGAAAAAAAAAGAAAACACATTATGTTGCTAAACGGAATATTATGGTGATTTTTATTATTCACTACTGAACAAGAATTCTTTACCCCAAAAAAAGATTTACAAAATTGAATCAACACTTAAACCTCAAAATTGGATCATGGTTTTGATGATGCATTTACAGGTTACCATGCTCACGTGGTGCGGCTTCTACGTATCCTAATTCGATCCAGAATGCCGTTGGCCTTTCTTTTCGGCCTCGAACTCCCGGTTTCCGCAATCTTCGATATCGTTCCGTAACGACTTTCTTCTTCCCGCATCTCTTTCCACTTGCTTCCGTCCCTCAAACAGATCCGATGAACCACCGCGATACAATTCTCCTTGTTCCGTTCACAATTCGTCTCCTTGATCAACGTAAACAAGCAAGATACCGCCCCGAGATCCACCATCTCCATCACCGCCTTATAGTGGCTCGTAAGCAATGCAAGAATCACGAGCAACTCGTCCACGTGAACCCTTTCCTCGATTTTCTTCAACACCACTCTCACCGCCCCATTTTCCACCGCCCGTCCTTTGTTTTCGTCGTCGATACACAGGTTAAAGATGGCGGAGGCCACATCCTTCATCGCCAACGAATGTCCTTCATCCAGAATATCGATCAGCGGCTTTAAAGCGCCGGCTTTTCCGATGAGCGATTTGTTGGAATTGAGAGCCGATAAAGTGAAAAGCGTTGCGGCCGCGTTACTCTTTGTTTCCATCCTTCCTGATCTTAACGCGTCCAATAGAATCGGAATCACCATTGGCGTTTCTGCAACAATCTGCTTGTTTGTTTCGTGGGTCGACAGATTCATAAGCGTGGTGATCAAATCTTGATGAAGATCAGGGTCGATTTTGGGTTCGGTCAATGGGGTTAGCAATTGAGGTATGGATTCTATAGATTCGCTAAAATACTCCCGAAAAGACGGGAGTCGTTTCGTTAACGAGCGTAAGGCCCGTGCGGCTTCCTTCTGTTCGGCTAAAGTGGATGACGATAACTTCTTGAGAAGCGATAGGAGGAGATCGTAATCGGCTTCTGTTAACCAGTCTTCTTTCCAAGAGCGTTCCGGACTCGGATACCCAACTCCACGATTCTTGCACCATTGCGATATCATCTCTCGAACCAAGTGATTCGGGGTTAGGTCCGTGTTCGAAAGAAGTTGTTGGGTAACGGGGCAAGTTCTGTTTCCTTCTTTCAACCATTTCTGGATTGACGACCGATCATATGTCTGCAAATTATAAGAAAGAAACTGAATCAACAGAGCTTTTCTTAAATCCCGAAATTCAACACCAAAATCTCGATGAATCATCAACCCAATTGGTGGAATTCTGAAATAGAAATTCTTATTTGCAGGATTAGTTTCTTGAAGATGAACAATGGTGGAAACTATTCAACCAGAAACCAAATTCTTGAATCTTGACCAGCAAAGATCACTAGACATAACCAGTATACAGAAGTGGTTTATAAAGGGTGAATGGGTTTTTGAAAATTAAAGCCATGCAATGGCAGAAATCGACAAATCATCCCGTGAAATGAATTTTCATATAAAAACAAGAAGAAATTAGAAGAAAATGAGCAGAGAAATCACCGTTCCGGTGGAGACGATAACAGGGTCCGTCATGATATATTTTGAAAGAGGGCAATTGAATTCTTGAGGGCAAACAGTCGAAGAAGACGATTGTTGGTTTCCTCCTTTCTTCAGAGTTTGCAGAATCTGAATGGCTCTATCGATATTTTCCGCAAATCCATTCTCGGCATCTGATTCAATAATCGCTTGAACAAGTATCTTTAATTCCTTCTTTAAGACGTCGGTTGGATCCTTTTCCATTGCAGATATACGTAGAAATCTCTGAAAATTGTGGGTTTTCTTCGAACAAGATCACCCAAGAAGGGTGACGATGGTTCTAACTAATGCAGGATTAGTTGCCAAGGGAAGATGAACACAGAGTGCGATTATGTTCTTTCTGCTATATTTCCATTGATCTCTGTCTCAAATTTCAGAGAATCTTCACAAGCAAAGCGTATGGATGTCTGGGTTTTAGAGAGAAATGGAATGATGATATGATGGTGGGTGAGTGAGAGCAAATGAGTTATATATATATATACATACATACATATACATATATATCGTTTCTTCTACTTGAGAGATGATTTTTTTAATAATAAATTAGAGGAAAATATATATTTTTTATTTTAATTTCAATTTTATCCTATTTTTTTTTTTATTATGAAATCTTTATTTGGGTTGCAAATATTATAACCGGAAGTCAAATTATTGACTCAGATGGTAAAATCTAGAATATGTGTGAAAATATTGTATTGAAATTGGTTGATTTCACAGTTTGTTTTCAGATAAAATAAATATAACCCAGAATAATTGAATATATGTTGCTTTTTGTCTCATCCGAGGCGGATTCATGCATGTGCCAAGGGGTTTCCCGACTTCAAGCCACTCCTCAATTGTCCTGACATACTGTAATTTTGTTCTACGATTTTTTAAAGGTATTCCCCTTTTATAAATCGATATGTGGCGCCATTTTGATTCCGAAATCAAAATTCACGCTTAAACCCTCTCTGCTTCTCATTGTTATCATATTCTCGGACCCTCAAATCACAACTCAGAACTTCCCAGACACCCACTCAAATCAAATGTGAATCCGTCCTACTTCAAACCTTAGAAACAAAATAATATGTAACATTTTCATAATAAAATAAATTATTTGAAACAATTTAATCATATTAAACAATTTCGTGAAAAAAATTACTAAAACAATAAGGTGAAATCGATGATTTTCATGATTTGTACAAAATAATATATATAATTCTATGTTTTAAAAGAATTAAAACAATTGGAAAAGATTGTACATCTATATCAAAACTTTCACTAAAATTGAAATAAATGCAATTACTCAATTCTGATAAAAACATATAGATTAATTAAAAAATGCATTTCTTGTTGGTTCTGATCGTATATATCCCACCCATGATAAGGTATTTTCCTATTGGTTATGATTGATTGTTGTAAGTCGTTGTTAGGTCAAATCATGTATTATAAATATAAAAAAGTAGTTTTTGATGTTGATTTGTGTAAAGATGAAAACAGTAGGTAAAAGTTCATTTAACAATATATAGACGTGCAATTAGCCTCCCTTTTTTTTTTTGCATTTAGGAGGTATTAGGTTTGTCTACACAATTGTTCCTTACTTTCCATCTTTTCCCTACTATGAATTATAATAAGAGATCCCAAATACATACATAAACCGTTATAAGAAGATGATAAACCAAATATATATATATTTGCGCTTCGAATGACATAAAACACAATTGATCCAATAAATTGGAACTTCAGGGTACAAAGCGATCGCCTGGAATTTGAAAAAGAAAACAAAGATGAAGAAAGCGACATGGTGATGGAGGTTAGGTTAGGTTAGAGGCGTGACGGTAACGATGACGGCGACACTAGTGACATAATGGTAGGTTGGGGTTGGGGTTGGGTGGCAGTTATGACAACGACAATTAATGATATGGTGATGGAGGTTAGGTTAGGGGCATGCCAGTAACGATAATAGCATGGTCTTAATAAGGATTTACAGTGAATGACCGGAGAAGAGTAGGTGCGATGACATCAATAGTGGTATGGTGGTTTGAGGTTAGGAGTGGGGTGAGGGGGTGGCAGTGATTGAATTTAATTCATTCCATTGTAAAGAATGAAGAATCCGTTGATCTGTGGAATTCAACGGAATTTGAAGGATTCCATTTATTTTAATAAATAATCAAACAATGAAATTGAAATTTGGTCCAAGGAAGTCGCTCTAATTCCGTCAAATTCCTTCAAATACTGCGAACCAAACTGCACCTTAAACCAGAACCACCGCCGTAGTCCCTTCCCATTTTCGGTGAACCTAAACGAGATCCATCATAATTGTTTTCTCTATGTGAACCACCACCACCGCCCCTGTTTCTCTCTCTGAACTTTTTGGCCCTTACCACCATGTTGTTTGAGTTCTGCCATATCTGCAAAATATCCCCTATTCACTTCATCTTTTACTGCCCTAAATCACATAAACTTCACAAAAAATTCAACCACATCTTACAAGGTAATCAACTCCAGTTTGGTTAAAGATAAAGTATCCATTGGATTTTGTAGTCGTAGGAGTTAGGGGGAGGGGAGAAGACAAGACAAGTCAAGAAAGAGCGAAGAGTTGGAGATCGACGGAAACCCAAGGGGTGGAGATCGATGGAGATCGGCGGTAGATCTGGGATGGAGGTGGAGATCGGAGAAGACGACGTCAACAGCACACGATGGAGGAGTAAGGGTGGTGGTGCTTACCAGAGGGGGAAGGACGAAGGATCGGAGAAGACGACGTCAACAGCACACGATGGAAGAGGTCGGCGCCATGGGTAGAGTCGTAGAGATGTTTGTGTGGTTTGTATATGTTTATATAGATATAGGTTTCGTGTATACACATATGTAATTTTAAATTAAAAAATAAGAAATTAAACATAAAAAATAGTAAATGACAAAGTTACCCTTGACTTAACGACCTATTTTAATGTCGTTAGCCTCAGGAATGAAAACCGGAACAAAATGAAAACCACAAGCGCAAAAAAGGCATGTTTTGAAGACAAGGACGAAAATCATGGTTTACTTTTAATTATATTATTAAAATATTTAATATAATAATAAAATATTTGTTCTCTTATTAAAAATTTAATTACTAAAAATTTAATTTCAAGATTCTCGTATGTATAAAAAAAGAATTTCTCTTTCCTATTTAATCATTTTTGGGATTATTCAGATTTGGAGAATTTTTCATCTCTCTCATACTTTTCTTCATTTTGAAAAATCTATTGGAGCAAAAATATCTTAACGCTATATTTTTGAAACTTTTTTTAATTAACCTGGATATCCAACATGTTATGCGAACCAATTAATCCGAGGGCGACCATCTGCTTTGCAGATAGCTCGGAGTCATCGCATTTGAACATCTATGGCCACAAAGGGATTTTTATTCCTCCTTAGATTTGAACCTGAGATCTCCTGGTACTTTTGACTTTTGGAGCCAAGCTCAAACTTTTTTTACCAAGGAAAGATAGGGAAATGGAAATCAAAACGTTTTTAGGAGATAAATTAAAGAAAACGAAAGTAAAATAAGCATAAGTTTCCTTACAGAACTAGTTAAAATTACAAAATTATCCAATCCTTCGTGATAAAGCCATATTTTTAAAGCACAAAAACACAAATATTAGGGGTGTTTTGGGATTTTGCTTATTTAAAACAACTTGTGTTTTTTGTAAAATTATTTATCAACTTATGTGGTGGCAAATCTATATAAAAAAAAAAAAGATGTTTGGTTTAGCTTATGGTGGTACCACACCTGATATGCTGATAAAATTGATGAAATACCTTATTCTTTCCGCATTCAAACACTAAAAACTTTTTATTACCGGTACTACACCGGAATAAGTTAATAAGTTAAAAGGAAGTAACTTATTAAAAACTTCTTATTACCGGTATAAGCATTTTCTTTTTTTTGTCATCTAAACATTAAAATTTTTTTATTACTAATACCACATCAAAATAAATTAATAAACATTTTAAATAAGCAATCCCAAACAGCCCAATAAGCTATTGGGATGCTATAACAAATTTTGTAAAAATTACCTAAAATGAAAATTTTAATAAATAAAAAATGTGCAGATAAATGCGTTCAGACACACCTAATTAGGAGTCATTACATTCACCGTATTCTTATTGTGGTCGTCCAGAATCGTTGACGGACCAGTTAATTCGTCGGCGATCTAGAACCATCCTCTCGCCTCCGATTTTAGCCTCCGCCACCACCTGTCGGCCACCGTTTCGCTCCTCTCTCTCTCCTTTCCGATTCAGGATCCCTTTCTTTTGCCCTAAAGATCTGGAGAGAGAGAAAAGCACATACTCAGAAGGATCGGTAATGGCGAAGGGCGTGAGTTCGGCGGCCGTGCAAGCAGAACAACTTAAAATAGATGGAAACATGTATTTCAAGAAGAATCGGTTTGGTGCTGCAATAGATGCTTATACGGAGGTATATTTCAAGATTGAATTTGTTTTTTTTTTCCCGGATTTATGTCACGATCATAATCTGTTTGATGAAATGTCGCTTTCTTTGTCTTTGTCTTTTCAAATTCCAGGCGATCACTTTGTGCCCTGATGTTCCAATTTATTGGACGAATCGTGCTTTATGCCATCGCAAGCGCAAGTATATATCAGCTCTACACTCTTCGTATGAAGCTTTATGTGTGTCATTTGGGGTTTCTTGTTATTATTTGTCGTAGGGAGAAGAAGGAAAGTAAGGAAGAGTTGCGCAGATAAACCTAGTACTTTCTAAATGCAAAATTGAAATGGAATTGTTAACAAAAGTTTACAAGTCCTGCCAATTTTGGAGTTGATTGATGACCATGCTCACATTATATGTCAAACTACAACTTCATTTGGGGACGTATAAACTGCATTTTTACAAAAGAGATTTAGGATACCAAGGTGTTGTTATATGCACCCGTTTTAGGTCAAAATCATGTCAAATCTTGTACTGAAAATGTAAAAAACTGGGGTTTAATGTTGATGGATACAATGGGGAACATTAGTAGAGTATTTGCATTTAACAAGTAAGGAGGGTGCAAACCACAAGGGGTGTGGCGTAGTGGTTGAAGCCCTGGGGGATTTGGTGGAATATCTCATATGTCCTGGGTTCCATTCCATGCGTACACAACAACAATCGTGGCCACTGAGCTTATCAGGGCTGATTTCTTCTTGTCACAATTTGCAGGGATTAGTCTAGCTATAACCTGGGACACCCTCCAAAAAAAAAGTAGGGATGATGCATCTAATCACCCGGATACTATAATACAAACACATTGTTCAATGATACAAACTCTTCTCACTTAATACCGCTGAAACCTTGAAACAACATGAAATGACATTTAATAATGCAGATGTGTAGATTTAGTTTATGAGATGTCTGACTCCCGCTTGGAAGTTTGTGACCGTCCCCATGAGAGTTTTTTGTTTTTCAATAATCTTCTAATCTTGTATTTTGTCTATTTACGTTTTTGTGTATAGTGATTGGACAAGAGTTGAGGAGGACTGTCTAAAGGCTGTTCAGCTTGATCATAAATCTGTCAAGGTCTATATTACTTGATCATTTTTCCTTCATACACATACTATGCACTTCCTTATTGTTTCTTCTCTCTCTGTCATGTAAACCTTAATCTTCTGTTAGCCATCTTATATGAGAATTGATGGCGGATGATTCTTGTATCTAATCTATACATAGAAACCCTTTGATGATATCTAATTAGTCTTTGTGTGCTAAATGAATCTTGATTGAATTAGCAGATTGGGCTTCAAATGAAATGGGAAGTTTATTGATATCGAATTATGCCTTTGAAGACAGACTACGGGGATGTTTACCAAATTTTCTAATTAAGTCTTGTTTGGATAAATTTGTCTGTTTGGATAAATTTATCTGTCTAGATAAACATGTAGTGTTGTGCTTTTTTTCTTCTGAATCAATTATCTGAATGGCAAAATTGACCATTTTACCCCTCAATGAACTGAACATTGTTTAACAAATATCACAGTACAAACAAATCAAATAACATCAGGAAGCCTTATTCTCATCCAATATCATAGTACTAACAAATCAATAATTTGTCTTTGAGGTCTGATTGAACTGATTAATACCAACAGTACCTCAAACACCTTGGTTCCTTAAAAAAATAAAGCATAGATTTGGAATTAAAGAACCCCAATCAAGATTGGATACCCTAAAGATCATACCCTAGAATTGGAAAAAAAAAAGCAAGAAATTGAATAAGAAACTGTTGAGAATGTCTAGAAATCGATCTTTCTGAAAACCGAAGACGAAATCAATCTTGCCAGTGCAGACAGGAGAAATTGATCTTCTATGAAAATCGAAGAAGAAACAAATCTTGCCGCTGCAGACATGGGAAATCGATAGTTTAGGTATCTTGGTAATTTTTGCAAATCATAGGTTTGGTGACGACGTAAACCTAGGTTGTGGAAATAACATTTTATGGTGAGGAAACATTGCATTTAGGCTAGAATTTTTAGTACCCTGGGAAATTTTCTGGTGGTAATATGCATTGAGTTGAGGTTTAGATAAATTGTACGTATTAAGGTCTAAAATGAGAAAAAAATTGAAGTGGGTTTCTTCGTGTACATCTCTCTCTCTCACTCCATTGCTTTCTTAAAGTAGGATATTTCGTGATGCTTGTTGATTTGCGATCTAAACTATTAGGTCTTCATAAATAATCCTATTTAGCATCTAATGTTCCCATAGGGGATAACATATTTTGGAATATATACAAGGATCTTAGAATCATCTAATGTTTTGCCTCATTTGTCTTTCAGCTTACATGTTCTTCCATTTTGTTATGTACTTTGACAAATACATGCTACTTATATTTAGGTATATGACCTTAAATGAGGTTTTAGTTACGCAATGGCCTTCTCATGAATATGGAGCCAATTATCTATTAGTAGGCCATGAGGTCATGAATTTAATTAAAAACTCATTTAAGGTCTTTATACCTGAATGACTCTACGCATACTTCCTCCTACTTTCTACCATATCTGATTGGATATCAGGGTTGCTAACAAGGTGAAACACTTGTGACACTGCAGGGTCATTACATGCTAGGGCTTGCACTACTACAGAGGCAAAATTTTACTGACGGAATAAAAGCGTTGGAAAAGGTATAGAGTTGACTCCTTGTAGATTAGACTGCAAAACAATTTCATTTTCCTTCTATGGTTGGTATATATACTCCCTCCTCCCCATAAATGTCCACAACGAAAAAATGCACACGGTGTTAGAAATGTGAAATTATTACACTGTTTAATTAATTAAATGACAATTTTACGCTTGATAATAGAGAGTAATTAATTTCTCCATCTTATAATCAATGGTAGAATTGGAAAGTAAAAATGGACAACGGGACAAACTAAAATAGCAATGTGGACACTTTTTTTTTGTGACGGAGGGAGTACTTGTCAAGTGGTTTGCCTGGTCAACGAAGGTAGTGTGAGTGCGGAATCTAATAAATGTTTTCTCTTTGTGGACCGTTTGAGATTTCAAGAGAAACGAGTTGGTCTTTGTGCTATGGCTATGATCATATTGGGACAATCTATGTTCAATAGTCGTCGGTGATAGTAATTTGAGATGTTATCTTACTTCTTACGTAGGCTTTAGATCTTGGGAGAGGTGCACACCCTAATAGTTATATGGTGGAGGAGATATGGCAGGAGCTCGCAAGAGCAAAGTATCAGGAGTGGGAGCGTGATTCCACCAAGCGATTGTCGGATTTGCAGAAACTTGAGTATGTTTCTTATGACCTATTCCTATCTTTTCATATATCCGACACTTTTTTTCCTGTCGTTTTCTTAGCGTTTCTTGTTACGTGCCAGAGAATCTTGTGAGATAGCTCTTAAAGAGAAACATTTGCATGACGTTAGTCAAAACGAAGGCAGTACTGATGAAGTTCCCGATTCTACTTCAGAACAATTAGCTGCTCTAAAATTAGTGTTCAAAAAAGCTGCAGAAACCGACACACCAAGGGAGGCGAGTCTTTGTTTTCTCTTTGTATTTTCATACTTTCTGTTCCAAAGCCAATTGCGTGTTTTGCCTTCTTAGACTCATATGTGTGAATTTCAGGTACCGGACCATCTTTGCTGCAAAATCACGCTCGATATATTTCGTGATCCGGTTATTACACCAAGTGGTTTAACCTATGAACGGTCTGTCATCCTCGATCATCTCGAAAAGGTATTTCTACTCTTCACATCTTTCGAAATGGTAACGACTTTGACTTTTGAGATCGAAACGTCTACTTTTCTACTACTTCATTTACTTAAATTCGTCAGATATAACTTAATAGAAAACCTGAACACAAAAAACCGTTGGTAGTACAGTCGATAACAAAAGTCGAAAGTTTACGTGTTCATGGGACATAAGGAGGGTATGATATCGTTGAAACTTACGTTATGTAACGATGTAATAGGTGGGGGCGTTTGATCCGGTGACTCGGGAAAGTCTTTACCCGTGGCAGTTGGTCCCGAATTTGGCAATAAAAGAAGCAGTAGAAGCATATTTGGAAAAGCATGGTTGGGCATATAAGATGGATTGAAATATATATGTATATATATATATATACAAGGAGTGAAGTAAATAGAGGGGGGATTCGGTAGAGATAGCTGTTTCATTCTGTACAGTTTCTTCATGAATCCTAAACCTAGGTCAAATGCTAAATTGAAACACAATTGGTTTTTGTGTGCAAAACCTTGCATCTAAGATAGAAACTGTGAAATGCTTTTCTTTTTATCTGTCTTTGATGAGTAAGTGGTGAACGATTATCGGGTAAACGTTTACTGCATGTCACTTTATCGGGTGAGTATGGCGATTTCCGAGAATCTTACTTGGTAAGAGGCATCGCAAGGATCGAGAATCTTTTCCGGTAATTAACGGATAAGACTCTTATTCGGTTAGTGTTTATTGGGTAAAAGAGACGGTTACTAACAACCACCGTATTTTAATATAATTAAGGGGCAGTTTACTAAACGCTTACCGAGTAAGTACTAATTGGGCAATTTTCTTCACCGGATGAACAATGAACATGACAAAAGCCAAGAATCTTAACCGGTAAGTGAGGGCGACGACTCTTACTCGGGTAAGCACTTACCAGGTAAATTGTTGCATAGGATACATTTTGATATACTACAATCTTATCCAATAAAATAAATCATAGTATTGACTCTTACTGTAAGCACTTACCGGGTAAGCATTTAGGTAAACGGCTCCTAACTTAATGACTTTCCTTCAAATAAATGATACATGTCAAGTGAAAAAGAAGTAAATTACGTTTTTCGTACTTTTGGTTTGTTAAAATAATGGTGGGTTTCGTCTGTGGTTTAGAATTGTGGTTTTCGTTTTTATGGTTTGTAATTTATTTCTATTTTCGTATCTGAAATCAACTACTATTTGTGAATACAAGAAACTAAAATAGCAATGAATTGTAAATCATATGAATGAAGACAACAATAAAGTTTAATCAAAAGGAGAAAAACACCAATGAATGAATGAATTATAAATCATGAGATGAAAATTGTAATTTTAAAATCATATTGACGAAAATAGAAATTTTCAACAAACCAAAGGGCTAAAAATGTAACTTATAATTACTTAACAAGTCATTTTACCTTATCACTTGAAATGGCAAGGATTGAGTCTTATTGGTAAGAGTGATGATAAGAACTAAGAGTCTTACCCGGTAAATTTATTTGAGAAATTGTTGCGTATTATGTCATTTTAATAGACTAAAATCTTATTCGTTAAGTTAAATTAAAGTGTTGACTGTTACCAAATAAGTTGTGTTAAAACAAATGCTTTATATGAAATTGTTTTAACGACTACCTTTGATTACCTTCTTTGAGCTTAATACGGTGATGATGTAAGGGATTGTTTGGCAGTTGCTGAATAATTCGGTACATGATGATTAAGTAGTCAAAATGATTAAGAGACTCTTATGATATAGTGCAAAATGAAATATGGTTGTTTGGTAATTGTTCATAATGAAATTAGGGCGTTGAAAGATAACACTCTAAACAACGAACGGTTTGTTTAGATTTTGTTTTAAATGTCATTTGACCTTGTTTAAGTTTTCTTTGAAACCTAAAACAAATATGGATTTCGAATAATTTCAACTTCAAAATCCTGAACATATCTAGACTTGGATTTCGTTTCCGTTGACAAACTTGGATTTGGCCTTCAAGTTCATCACCATATGAGAGAAGGGTTTTTACCCAAAACCTAGAATCTTTTAAACATAAAAGAAGGGAGTGATTGAAACCATAAGGGTGGTGTCTGATTGGTTTGAGCTTGGGTTCCAAAGGTCAAAAATGTCTGGAGGTCCGAGGTTCAAATCCAATGAGAAATAAAAATCCTCTTGTGGTCACGGAGGTTCAAATGCGATGACTTCGGACAACCTACAAAGTAGGTGGTCGTCGTGGGATTAGTCAACTGGCACGACGGATTGGATATCCAGGTTAATAAAAAAAAGGGGAGTGATTGATTTGTGAACGGGGAAAAGATGCAAAACCTAAATCACAAAAGATTCGGTTGGTGAGAAGTTGCAGGGAACATTGGGGCTCATGTTCATTCACAAGTCTAACATACTAACATAGGGTTCTTTTTTTTCTTTTCTTTTTTTGGATTTTGATTTAATAAATATTTTATTTTAAAAAGTTACTTGAAATACTCATTTTTAAATTTTAAATTTTAAATTTATCTATTAGCTATTTTCTCCCTTAATATTTCAAAAATATCACTAGATCCATAAGTACCTTCTCAATTTATGGGAGGGTTAAAGTATAACAAAAGAAGTTTTTAAACCAGGTCGTTCGCAACTCCAAGACCGAAATCTATAAATTAGTCTCAACCTTCTGGGAGTGACAGAGGTCGTACATGCGAACATTTATCTAATTTACAAATTTGGTCTATGTAATTATGAACCAGGTTTAAAAACTCTTTTTTACATTTTAACCCCTCTGCAAATTGAAGGAGTGCCACATGGCGGACCTAGTGATATATTTGAAATTTGGGGAAAGAAATGGTCAAAAGATGAATGCAAAGTCTGAAAATATCTATTTCTATCAATTTCCCTCTAATTTTATATATAATGTACAATCTTAATTTTATTTTATTTTTCTCTAGAAAGATAAGATTAGGGGGTTAAAATGTCTAAAATGCCCTCACATGAGCGGCATGTTGCAGCCCTAACGGCACCGTATTGGATGGTGTCTGGGAGATGGATTCATTTGGCCTAAAAACACGATTTTTAGATCAAGAATATACTTTACTAATCAGAGGGACAAAAACCAAAAAAAAAGTATTCACAAGAGACCAAAAATGTAATTCACTCTTATAGTTGGGAGTAAACTACAATTTCACTCTCGCTTGTTTGTCGATTGTAAATGAATTTTGTTCCTATAGTGTAGAAACTACAACTTTTTTTTAATTAATCTAGATATTCAACCTACTATTCGACTCGACAAAAAACAGGACGACCACATGCTTTGCAGATAGCCTGGAGTCACCGCATTTGAACATCTGTGGCCACAGAGGAATTTTTGTTCCTCCTTGGATTTGAACTTGGGAACTTCTGGTACTTTTAACCTTTGGAGTCAAACTCAAACCAATCAGACACCACCCTTGTAGTTAGAAACTACAACTTAACCATCGTGGTTTACAAAAAACGTCTGAAATCGGTTCCATTCCTCTAATAGTTGTTAAAAGAAATTGTTAAGCAAGAAGCATTTTAGACCTCTTCATTTTTCTAAAGATATGTTGTATTCTCACACGCAGATTTTTACCTTATTTATGTGTTTTACTGAAGCAAGTTGGCATAATAATGGATTCCTAAGTTTTATTTAGTGTTTTATTATAATTGTAGTTTGTTAACCATAAAATCCGTTAACTTAGCTAGCATAAAACTAAGGACTTGTTTACCAAACGTTTCCCGGTAAGTTTTAACCAAGTCATATTACTTGATCAGATAAACATTGTAGGTACCGAAAATCTTACCCGGTAAAAATGATGGCAAAAACCGATATGGTAATGATAATGTTGAATCTTACCGTGTAAATGCTTACCGTATGAGCGTTTGGTAAACGGCCCCGAACGTGTATCTTATTGTAGATCAAGATTTGAGAACAACAATGGTAAATATAAGACCTTGAGTGATATGCTCAACTTTGTATAGGATGTGTTTACCAAACATTTATCTGGTAAGTGCTTCTTGGGTCACTTACATTACAGGATTAAGAACCTTACCCTATAAAAACAACAATAGAAACCGAGAGAAAATAAAATTTTAATTTGGCTTTTGTTAAGTACAAAAATAACCTTAGCTTCCAATTGAATTACATTCTTTCTTTTGTCACCATTTTAAAATAATTTAACAATGAAATTAGGGTCTTGGTAGATTCTTACATAATAGAATCACTACTTTTCTATAAAACATGTTAAGATGTTCATAAATTATACAATTAAAATAAAAGAATTATCCAGCAAATGCTAATAATAAACAACTTTTTCAATCTTAAGTTTAAGTTATAAATCATAAACTTCAGGCATAACTTATTGCTCAAATTTGTTAATGCCTCAAGCTTGAGCTCAGCTTTGTAACAGTTATCGAAGCTCAAGCAAAGGTCAAACAACCAACTATTTGACACAGCTTGTTACATCCCATTCGGCAACAGGATAAAAAAGGTGCACCAATCTCAGAAACAAACATTCAGGAACAAATAACCTCTTTCGACAAAATTCATTTCTAGAACATAATCCATGCAACAAAACTACATGATCTCAAAATTAAAACGGTTCGAAAGTATATCAAAAGCTAAAAATGCATCACAGAGAACACACAAAGACATGTGATGCTATCAGGCTTACTCGTCTTCCTGGCTACGCAACCTAGCCAATTTGTTGGTAACAACAACATCCAACTGTGCTGCACGCTCAACGATCTCCTTCCTCTTGCGGGTTGAAACATTGTGTGCAATCTCAGCACAGTATGTTCTGAAATCAATATATGTCCGACAATCGTTATTTTAAATTGGATCTAGCCTACGTTTGGCAAAATAGCTGATAAGCTAGCTATTGACAGAGAAACTAGCTGATACACTAGACAGTCTGGTAAAATGACTAGCAGAGAAGCTATATAACAATGTAAAATGATCTAAAAGGACATGTTGAACAATTGATAGGAAAGAACCACTGAAGCTATTGAAACATCACTTTGAAGTAGTTTTTCAAAAGGTAGCTTGTGTCTGGCCAAATGTAGCTTTTTCAATAAACTCAGAAAAATAAGCTTAGGTTATGGTTGCTAAACTTTGTGGCCTCATTCATAAAAGTGTATAGTACCTGTTGTGCATCATAAGAACTTCAAGCTCCTTAGCATTGTGCACCACAAACTTCTTGAAACCGTTAGGCAAGTAGTGACGGGTCTTCTTGTCTGATCCATACCCAATATTGGGCATAAGAGTCACCCCCTTGAACTTTCTCCTCACACGGGAATCAATACCCTTAGGTCTTCTCCAGTTTTCCTGTCACATAAGCAGTGAACAACTAATCAATGGCTGGGATTCAAAAATAATGTGTTTATGACTCGATATACCAACGGCAATATTGGTATTTCATGTAACAAAATTCAGGAAATGTGTAAAAAACAACACAAGAACCACTTTACAATTGACCAATTTGCAATTTATGTAGTGATAAACAAAAAACACACTCAATTGACAACCATAAAGCTGTTGGAATAAACTTGGGTTCAGAACGTTTGAAAACCGAAAACTCATTAGCCGCTTAAATAAATGGTGATGTTGAAAACCTGAACTTCAATGTTAGTATACCTTGACGCATATTTTCCAATCACTGTGGGGCCTCTTGAACTTCTTTACACGCTTCTTGACGATCTTCTTATCAAGCTTGGGAACCGCCATTGCTTACTATAAATAAATGGAAGATACAAAGGTCAAGTGGGATAAATGTAATCAAACTTCCATAGAAAAGACAGCCATTCATTGAAACAATTCTACACAGCAAGGCAACAAACCATTAGTTCTTGAGCATAAGTGGGACTGCATTTTTTCATACATTATCTGGAAATTGAAATTTTGGCTCAAGAATCTCCATTAGTTCGTTAAACAAAAGCAGAGATCAGGTTTTCAAAATAACGAACCAATTGTTTTCATCATCAAAAAAGCAACAGTTAACTTCAAATTCAAATAAAAAGTAGAGATACTGTCAGATCCAAAAACAATCTACTCCGTTATTGAAAACCTAATCAACAACCTAGGTTAAGATAAAAAATACTAGTTCTCTAGGTTTATTCAGCTTCAAAGTTACAAACTACTAAATGATTAATCGAAGTTAAACCAAATATACAAATAGAAAAGCACATTACAACATATCTAAGGTTCAAACTCCATCACACATATAAGAGTTGCATGTCACAACAACGATAACGAAACCCAATGAATCGACAGACAAATACATTAAAATGTCATAAACAACAAGCGAAATAAACATAAAACTTGAATCATTCACAAACTGACGCATAATATGCAACTAGATCTACGAACAATGAATACAAAGCGCGATTGCGATTGCGATTATGATTGAACACAAAAGAGAAGAGAACGAAGATTGAAACCTGCTAAATGAGACGAGACGGCGGAAAAAATCTCGCTGCAGACGAGACTCGAGAGAAGAACAAATGAAGCAGAGCCCTAGGGTTTTAGATATACCACCCGAGACGAGGGTGTGTGTAAATGGGCCGACGTATGACAATAGCAGCCCAACCACACATTTATAATTAAATCTTGAGTAAATTACGTTTTTAGTCCCTATGGTTTTTTAAAAGTTGCAAATTTTGTCCCTGTGGTTTTGTATATTACGGTGTTTGTCCCTGTGATTTGTAATTAATCGATATTTCCGTTCCTAAATCTAACTCCTACTTCTAAATTGAAGTATTAAATACGAAAACAACAATGAATTACAAAACATAATTACGAAAATGATGATACATTATAAATCATAAATTCGAAAACAACAATTGATTGTAAATTATAAATCAATAAATTCAAAAACATCAATTAATTGTAAATCTTCAGGATGAAAATTGTATTTTTAAAAAGTATAAGGATGAACATAGTAACTTTTAATAAACTATGGGGATGAAAATATAATTTACTCTTAAAACTATAAACACAACCCGTTGTGCAAGGCCCAATAAGCCCATATGAACCTACTTTTTTTTCAAAGTGGTGAATTATACATGAGGTCGAGATGGTGATTTGACTTTATTCGTTACGAAACCATGGTTGCCCGTTTTAATCAAGGTTGTATATTTTTACGTAATCGGTCCCACCTCCTAAGTTCGTGATCCCAGCCTAAGGTAAAAACTAGGACCGGGTCGAGCAAGGGACCGTTTACCAAACGTTTATTCGGGTAAGCACTTACCAATTCATATTATTCTACGGGATGAATATAGTAAGAACCAAGAATCTTACCCGATAAGAGCGAGGCAAGGTATAGGAGTTTTAGATAAGTGAGAGCGACGACTTTTACCACGGTTAGTGCTTACCAGGTAAATTGGTGTATATGATGTCGTTTTTGTTGACTAAAATCTTACCCGGTAAGTAATGATAATGTAGAATTTTACCGATAAACGCTTATCGAGTAAGTGAGAATCATAATAAAAGATCTCTACTCTTGAATGCACATTAGGATAAGATGTAACAAGATGCATTAGATCAATCATCATATCATACGCGATCAATGGGTGGTTTTTGAGATCAAAAGTGATTAGGGGTCTAGATCCCTTTTCACGTTTCTCATCACTTAACTCTTATTCTCACACGATCATCTGTCTGATAATATAATGATGTAAAATGAAAAAGTAATGACATGAAACAAACTAAATAAATAATTATAAGGGAATAAAATGTAAGTATTAAAAGAGTAAATTACGTCTTTCACCCTTGTGGTTTATTAAAAATTGTGGATTTCATCCCTCTGGTTTTGAAATTTCGATTTTCGTCCCTATAGTTTGTAATTCATTTCTGTTTTCGTCTCTGAGACCAAAACATTACTTTTAAGTATGAAGGACTAAAATAGAAATTAATTTTAAATCATAAGAATGAGAAAAACAATAAATTTTAAATCATAAGAAGGAAAAAGGTAATTAACTATAAACTATAGAGATGATAATCATAACTTCAAAACCATAAGGACGAAAATAAAAAAATTCAACAAACCATAGGGGCTAAAAACATAATTTACTCTATTAAAAATAATTTAATTTATTTATGATATATAATAATATGATTATATTAAAAAAAATTAAATATTGGACTTATTTTAGAGGTATTAAAAAGCGAATTATAATGATGTAACTTGTCAAAAAAATATTTTAATTAATATATGATGTTGTACGCTAATATGACAGGAATATAAAATGATAAATGAAAAAGTAAAGAATATAAAACAATTTAAAGTAACTATAAGGGTATAAAATACAATTTAAAAATTAAAAATTGATGAAGTTCAACCGTTGAATTTGATTTATGAAAGAAAGTAGGTAGTAAGAGGAACGGCAAATTGCATGAAAAAGTAATATACTTTAACTTAATTCCTATTTTGGTTAACGTACTTTCAGAACTTTTATTTTGGTACATAAAATGTAAAGTTTTAAACATTTAAGTACCCGAGTAACCTGTTGAAGTATTAACCAATTATCATACTGATGTGACGAGTGATGTAGTGGTCTGTTTACTTGAGGCTTAATGAGCTTAGTGGATAAACTATTATTCGCACAGACAAAATATGTTGTTTACCTCGGGCTTATTCGCTCAGAAATGGGCTTATTCGCCCAGATGAAAATCTTGCCTTGTCCAGGTTAAGCAGGCCAAAAGACTTGCCTTACCCTCATCCACCAACAGCGCCTCTCTCTTACGGAAACACCAACAGCGCCTCTTCTCCATCGATCCAAAGAACCCTAATCGAAGGTCTCTTCTCCATCGATCCAAAGAACCCTAATCGAAGGTCTCTTCTCCATCGATCCAAAGAACCCTAATCGAAGGTCTCTTCTCCATCTCCTCCAAAGAATCCTAATCGGTTTTTGTCTCGGTATTTGTTGTCTCGGTTATAAACGGTAGCATAAACCTCTAGACAACGAATGGTAGAATATAGTCGTATGGAACTGGGCTCGGATGAATGGTAGTACAAACCTCGACATGAGTCATCGACAGTCACCAAAAAAAATAAAATATGTGTCTGTGTGTCATGTCTTGCAGCGATCTTACCATTTCTGCGTTGGTTGACCATACCCATTGATCCATGCTTGACCTTTTCCTATACTATTCATATCCAGAGCCAATGGCTCATCACCATCAGGTGCATTGAAGTAACAAAGAATTGAAGACCCTTATGTTTGTCATACCTTGTACCATGTCTTGCTGTTTGTTATTTCTATAATCCCAACACTTTGTTGTTTCTATAAACCCAATTTTTGTCAGGGGTAAATTGGTCATTTATGTTATTCAGATTGTTGATTTAGATAGAAAAGTAAACAACAACATAAATTTATCCAGACAGACAAATTTATTCATACAGAACTTAATAAAAAATTTAGTAAACAACCATTAAGTATTATTTACTATTAACCCAAATTACTGATAAAACCTCATACTCATTTGTAGTTTTATTTAACATTTTAACAAACTTTTTTGATTAGAATAAACAATAAGCAAAGTAAAAGGTTACTTGTTTGCTCACAGAAAAGCTATTTATTTTCCCAACCGCATCAACTTCCCACGCACCAAGCTTCACCGTCGTACTCCACCGGAAACAATGGCGTTTCTCCACCGACAATCTCCGTTCTGTGTTTTCGTGATAGCACTCACATTTCTCGTTTTGCTAACATCGCCGGCGAGTTCTCTCGACTGTTCATCACAGAAGTTCGCCAACAACCTCTACGCAAACTGTACCGATCTACCAACTCTTAAGTCGTCCCTCCACTGGATTTACATCTCCAAAACCTCCTCCCTCTCTATTGCATTCATCGCGCCTCCGCCCAAACCCGACGGTTGGATTGCTTGGGCCATTAACCCGACGCAAACCGGCATGGCCGGTTCTCAAGCGCTCATAGCTTTCAAGGACGCCAACGGCTCGATGACGGTGAAGAAATACAACATCAGTTCGTACTCCTCCATCGTCGAAGGCGAGATCTCTTTTGAAGTTCCGGAATCCAGAGCGGAGTATTCAGGCGGATCGATGAAGATCTTCGCAACGGTGAAGTTACCGGAAACAATGACGGAGGTGAATCATGTCTGGCAGGTCGGTGGTTTGGTGACGGAAGGAAGGCCGACGAAACATGAATTCCAGCCGGCGAATTTGAAGGCGGTCGGAAAACTTCATCTGAAATTGGCAGAGAAGGAACAGAATAATAGTACAACCGCCGGTAGTCCTATCGTTTCCCCAATCTCAAGTCCAAGCCCTAGCACCAGTTCTGCTTCTTGCAACACCAAAATGTACGTATATTTTATGCTTATAATTGGGGCTCTGATCTCAAATTAGAAAACAAACATAAAACGTTATGTTGATTTCTATGTTTTTCGATCGATTTTACGCCATGATCGATCATCATCTACATGTTACATTGAATTAAAAAGAAAAATATCAGTTGCGCTTTGGACTTTTGGCGATTCAAATCTTCTCTATTTCAATCCATGTTCTTCATCTCGTCTGATTCTTGTTCCATCATTTATTATTACGTCGATGCATGATCGTAAATCACATTGATTAGTGTTCATCATCGATTGTATTCTTTTTAATATCTTTAACAAATTTTAACAGTAAAATTACTTGTCAAATCACAGGGAGACGCATAACAACCATTAAATTCATCAACAAAAGAGAAAAATACTTGTTAATTCTATATGATCATGAAAAGTTCAATCAATTGTAATATACCTCGATTTCCTGTAGCTTTCCATGATAAAAATTTGTTGTACCAAAATTCCATGTTCAATTTCTGTCCCACCAAGGATGTAAATACATATTAGAAATAAAATTAATTTTTTAGAATAATTGGTTTGTATTCAACTTCTATGAATTTTGAATGGTTGACTTGATTTTTTGATGGTATGATGTAATGGACATGCATGCTTAAAAGAATTTCAAATGTCGTGATCATGAGACATGGAAATGATTATGATCATATATAGTTATGATTTTCAAAAACAAATCCGGTTAGATGTCATTATACGGTAGTTGGTATGGTATTATTGTCACACTCAACTAATGTAGCGATATGCATTCACGATGTTTAAAGCACAAACTTTAATTGCAAGGTCTATGTGGGCAAAATCACTTCACTCATTTATCAACTGAGCTACATGTCAATTGCTTACTCACTCTATATACCTGTATGATTGATTGTAACATTTTAGACGAATTTCACATCTATATAGAAAATGACTTGTATATGTTATTCACTGTTATACATATCATTTTCTGTATAAATGTCAGATTCACCTAAAATGTTACAATCGGTTTCACATGTTTTAGTTCCGGTCTTGTTAGTTTTTGTGGGTTTAGTCATGGTTATAATTTAATTCATATAAATTATATTGTCCATATATATATATATATATATATATATATATATATAGGGTTTATTTCAAATACAACCTATCGCATTTGTACAACCAATGCAACCCAATAAAATGAAATATTTATGGAAATGATTAGAATTCATTTATTATGATTTAAATATTTATGGAAGATGAATACGGTTCATTAATTATGATTAATACTTCATATTAGGAAATAATCAAAACCTCTATAAAATCACATATTAATCAAATGAAATGGACGGTTGAGATTGGGTTGTATTGGTTGCACAAATGACAAAGGTTGTATAATAACCAACCTCTATATATATATATATATATATCTTTAATTTTAGAGTAAACTACAATTTTCATTTACTGCAGTTTGTTGAAAATTACAAATTTCATTCATGTCTTTTTTAAATTATGGTTTTTGTCCATGTGGTTTACAATTTATTTTCTTTTTTATCCCTAATACCAACTCCGTCAGTGATTTACCATTGAATGTGAGAGACAAAAACAACAACGAATTATAAACCATATCAACAAAAAACCATATAAACAAATACCGTAATTTCAAAAACACAAATTAAACTCCAAAGATAATGTACCCATGATTTGGTGATGGTGAAGGGTCCAAAATACCCACTCCACACCCACAATGCTTTCACTTCCCATAAACCTCATAAATAGTCTTATCTACTTTCTTAAGTGGAACAACTCTCATAAATATCCCTTTTTTTTCTTCAAGAATTAAAGAGTTTGAATAATACTCATTTGTAACGCCACATCAAAATTAACGAAGCAACATCAGTATTTATAGGTCATTAGGTTATCGGGTCTTAAATTATCTGCAAAGTTTATTTTAGGCCGTAAGGAGTCGTTTATCAAATGCTTATCTAAAAAGTGCTTTAACGGCAAGAATTACCTAAATTATCGGGTCCTTATTTACCTATTCGGATGACATTCTCGGCTATAAAAATGGATTGTTTGTAAACGTCTCTTACTTACTAAGTGCTAAACGAGTAAGCGTTTTTTTTTCTCGTTTAACGGATATAAACTTCGTGGTTGTTGACTTGTTGTCATAGCAGGTAAGATTCTCGATTCCTGACATGATCAACCGATAAGTAAGTGACTCGGTAAACGCTTACCTTATAAGTGTTTAGTAAACGACTCCTAAAATCAAGGTTTTCAAAATCGGTTCCCCCAAGTAGAACTTGAACCAAAATTTGTTCTATTTTGATGATATTACTCTTAAAATGTAACTATTTGATTTTTAAACAATTATTCGATAAGTTTAATTGGTTTGTTTCCACCCATTAACATCTTTTGTTTTCTCACGATTGGATGCACATTAGAATAAGATGCACCATTGGGTTCCGGTAAGAAAGAGAGTTAAGGTAGGAAGCGTAATAAATGATCTCCGCCATTGGATGCACATTAGAATAAAATGCACCAGATCAATTCCCGTATCAAACACGATTCATGAATGAGTTTGAGATTAAAGGTGATCAAGACTACAAATACCTTCTTACGCTTCTCATCTTAACTCTCATTCTCACATGATTCTTCGTCTAAATAAAAAACAGTTGAACATGAAGGTTCATTTCTCTTTCATATTCATCGCGTATGTATATACGTGGCTAAAAGGACCAGACCTACCTGTCTAATTACTTTGTCAACATCTTAATGCCCAAATTCGACTAATTTTTGCTTTATCTTGAATTTAAAGTGTTACCTACCGTTGTAGCATAATACTTCTTGACAACAAACGGTAATATGTTATATCGTACAAACAAAACAAGGAATGCTTTGATAAAAAGTCTTGAATTGCATTAGATTAGGACTAACCTTTTCTAAAAAGAGCTGTAGGTTTATAAAAAGTCGTTGTCATTGGAAAAACAATGAGAAATTGACCAAAATAGCAATCTTCCCGACCAAGTTTAATTTTTGGTCATTTTTGGAACCGAATTCCCATTTTAGCAAGAGTTTACTCAAACGCCTTACGTATTTGAATATCGAAAATTCAAGTGGTTGAAACCGACGCCGCTACTTTGAAGCGTAAAGCCAATTTTCAGATTTTAAAAAGATTTTTTTTTTGCATAAATGCATTTACGTAAAGTTTTACTACAACGGGAATTCAATTGAAAAAGTGGATAAAAAGTTAATTTAATTAGATACGTTTGGCTATTTTGATCAATTCCCAAAAACAATGCATTTGGTATACATACATACATACATACATACATACATACATACATACATACATACATACATACATACATACATGCATGCATGCATGCATGCATGCATACATACATACATACATACATACATACATACATGCACAACACATCTAATCTTCTTAGCCGGGTAAAAAAAGGGAAATTTATTAAAATAAACATTTTTTAGGATTGTTTTCACCTTCTAGTAACTTTCTCTATAAGTTTACCAAAGTAGCCATAGGTCTGCAAAAACCCACGTCCGCAATTACGGACCCAACTAAAAGACAAGAAAATTACACTTTCTACCTTATCCGTAAAAAAATTACATTTTTCGTCCAAATCATGAGTGAGTTTGAGATTAAAGGTGATCAGAGGTCCAGATCCCATGATGCGCTTCTCACCTTAACTCTACTTCTCACACGACTTTTCACCTACGACTGTATATATACTGTATGAAATAAATATGTTTGCCATCATTATAAAGAAAAAGAAAGGTAAAAATATGGATGTTGATAGGGCAACAACAATGATAATGAATCCCAACCCTAATCAAGTTTTATACCACATGTCTCAAGAAGGTTAAACACTAAGATGAATTAGAGTGCTTTTTTTGCAAGTATGCACTCATCTCCCCTAGTTTAGGAGGGAAATCATACTTTTTTTTTTGTTACAAAACATAACCGTTAACGACTTTCTTAAGTATTCAGTTGTATCGATTTTATGTTATAGTTTACTTAAAAATGCATTGTAACTAGAAATACGACACCTTCTGTTTTCAAGTTGTCAAAAACCATGGTTAAAAACCACTCACACGGAATGTATAAGGATCAGTGTAAAGTATTCTTATTATGTTATGTGTGTCTCAAAAATGCATAATCAAACCAAAGGGCCTTTGGCCTAGCGGTATGTGAGTCATTGACCTCCTAGTAATAGAAATATTTATTTTATAATAAAAAGAGTCTTTAAGAGTGAAAGAAGTAATTATGTGACTTATTTACCATTAAAGGTGCTTAAAAATCCGATTAAGGCGACCCGAAAAAATCAGAAAAAAATCAACTCGAGTTAGTCCTAGACATAGTTGATATAAAATTAAATCAAACCGCATCTATTGAGTTGGAATTAGGTTAGGGTTAAACCCCCCCCCCCCCCACAAACTCGATGAACCCGATGTCTTTCTATACTATAGATTCAATATATGTACGTTAGACAATAGACCAACCCATTTAGCTATATTCAGAATTATGTTACAATTGTTAACCATAATTTTACTCTCTTATTTACATGAAACTTTATTGAGTTTGATAGCCTTTTTTGTATATTCTCGTTTTGATTTTTGTTTCGTTTAAACACAAACGCATAGCTAGATTGTAAAATGATGTACCAAAGTTTCAATCTAATCAACTGATCAGCCCAACTGTACAATTAAGGTTGGGTTGGATTGTATACTTGAGTTGAAGTTTTTTAAACCATGGATTATATTGTTCAAATACCTTCGATCCGAATTATGTACAGTCATGCATCCATATTTACCACTCCATTAAAGAGTGATGGTAGGAAATTGGTGGCATGTGTACCTCTGAATGTGTTCATCTTCATGTGCTACGTGCCATGGGTGTTAAATGCACCTCTTAATGAATACAATTATTAATGCTCATGTATGAATGTATAATATATGATATATATATATATATATATATATATATGAAAATTAAAATATAATTGGAGAGCAGAAAATAATTGTCTATCTGATATAACTTAATAAATTAAGATGAAATTCGAAAATTTGAGAATGCACGTTGTACGGTGACGATAACCTATAAAAAAATATTGAAGTTGATGAGTTGATGATCATAAATTAGATAATAAACTAATATAAATCGATATTACACTTGATATTAAGTCGGTTCATCATATCCTTGGTTGTTTCTTTTGCTATATATATACTAGGTTTGATCCCGTGTGTTACACGGAGTAATTTGAAATTAAATCATGTCATAAACTTATCTTATAGATATGAATGATTTATCGAAAGTATGATGGTACTTCAGATTTGTACTTTTGAAACAACTCTAAAGTATAACTCTGAAAAATGATTATTCAGACTTGAATTTAAAAATGATTGAATAAGAGGACACATGTCAATCAAATGAGTATAATTGAATTGTTAATGTAAATTGTGCTTAGATACGTTCAAATGAGTCTAATTGAACCACTAATGTAAATTGTGTCTAGATACGTGTTTAGGCGGGAAAACAAGAAACCGATTCACCAAAAGATGACACATGTCATCCAAGTTATTTATTTATTATAAGTATAGATATGTGTGTGTGTGTGTGTGTAATTAATTAAGTTCTACATCAAACTTTGTCATTGGCTTAAAATGAGAAAAGAAATGTGTGAAACTATTGATTATAATGATGATTGTTTTATCATAACTCGTAATATATCGAATTATTGATTTATCTCATACATATATATATTCCCATAAAATATTTAGATTTACCATGAAAATACGGCGTTATTACCTAGTCTTACATAATTATGATATTAAATGTAGTGAGTATTTTATTTATTAGTGAGATGGTTAATAGTAAGTATTTAATTATATATTGATTTTTTTATTAACCTGGATATCTAACCTGCTATATGAGCTGACTAATTCCAGGGCAACCACCTGCTTTGCAGGTAGCCTGGAGTCACCACATTTGAACCTCCATGGCCACAAGGGGATTTTTATTTCTCATTGGATTTGAACCTGAGACCTCCTGGTACTTTTGACTTTTGGAGCCAAACTCAAACCAATCATGCACCACTCTTGTTGTTATTATATATTGATTATAATTAGTGATATTAAACGTGATAAATGTTTCCTAGTGAAGGGTTAATAATAAGTATTTAGTTATATACTAATTCTGAATTAATTTTTATATTATTAGTTCTAATTTCATTTATATTAAATTATATATTGATTTTAATAAGATTTTAAATGGTAATATTTTTTTAATTTTATATATTGATTCAAATTTTAGGTAGCGTTTGGTACGCATACATGATTGGACAGAATTGTACAAGACAAGATGATAGGACTTGATAAGACATGACTGAATAAAACAAGTGTCTATCTGGTGTTTGATACGACTAGAACTTGACATAACAGGACAGAACTAGATAAGTTACCACAACAGTTATTTTATGATTTCATATATCATATAATATTTATAATTAACACAAATAAAGTAAATAGTTTAATTTATATACAATTATACATAAATATAATATAGTACCAAATTTGAATGAATTTTTTTATATAATTGATTGTATTTTGATAAAACCGGATTCATACAATGGTTGCGGAGGTAGAAACATTGGTAATTGGTGGATGATAGTGGTCGTGGAGGATGTGAAGATGATGGATAGTGGTGGTGTTGGCGGTCGACAGAAAAGATTGTCTGTAGAAAGTCTTCTTTTTTACGTAAACTCTCCATTTTTTTGGGTAAAATCGTCTTTTAAATTGTTTTTCCTTTTCTTTTGCCTGCAAATAAACTTTACGTTGAAAATCTTTTTTATAACTTTGGTAATTTAAGAAAAAAAAGTTTTTAAAATGACTAAAACATGAAATCATTTTAATAAATTCACTATTTGTGTAATTTTTCCTATAAAATGCAATTAATTAATTTTTTTAACGAAAAGAATATAAATGAGAAACTGTTTTACATCAATGATGTCTAAGAGATGGCCAAAATGGTCCATGTCTCGTGTGGAACCGGCTTAGGACCAATAGGGACCGGTTATGGACCAATAGTCTGGGATCGGTTATGCTTTTCATGAAAATTCAAGGCCCAGTCCAACCCGACCTGAGACCGGTTACGAGATCGGGATCAGGACCGGTTACATAAGCTTGATTCTTTTTAAATTAAGTTTTAGTAAATGATATATGAAGTTTTCCAAGATCCCTTCTATATGGAGAAGGGGCCTAATGTTTTTGGTCGGGACCGGTTACAAAAGGAAAATCTTGAACCAGGAACTATTTAAGCTTGGCTCGACCCGAGACCAGTTCTTGGCCATCTCTATGTCTGACCATTAATCTTAACAGGCTATGACTGAACCATCCATCTATCATATTTTTATAAGGGATGTACAAGCCCGTTTTTCTAATAGACCAGATAGTTTAACCGGTCATCATGTATGTAAACAGTCGAACGCACAAAACAATGCCAAATAATCGAGGAAATTGAGAACATAGAATTCCAAAGAGTAACTATCGAACAAAGAGATGAAAAGCTTCCCAATTAGAGAAAGTCAACATGCTAGCACTAATGTACCGGATTGGGTCCATGGCTAAGAGCGTGCTACTAATGAACCAAATGGCAGCCAATATGGTCCATGGTTAAGCGTGTTTAAATAAGAGTAGTACTGAAACGAATGATTGTTTATCCAAACCAGACAAGTCATTTGGAACAACAATAGTTTTGTTTCGTGTTCCCATCCTTAACTAGGCTAACACGATTTAAAGACACTTCCGACTTGTAGGAATCCGAGTTTAGGACCTTTCTTCTAACGTTGTCGTAAATAGCACGAATGACGATCTCAAAAGCCGTTGTAACGTTCGTGGAATCAAGTGCAGATGTCTCGATGAAGAAAAGTCCTTCCTCTTCTGCAAGACTTTTGCCCTCTTCAACGCTCACGTCCCTAATATTCTCCAAATCACTCTTGTTCCCTACCAACATTGTTGCCATTGCAGTATCGCAATGAGCTGCAAACATTAATAAACAAAGGGTTTCTTTTAAACACAAGTCGGTCGACATAATGACATCCGATAAAAGAGGAAAAACCCTCGACTGTTTTTTAAGTAAATAATATTTTATAACCCTTTGACCTTCGGGGAGGTTTGGGTCTACCAGTAACCCAGGTCCCACTAGACCAATGACCCTTTGGTTCTATGAATCAGCGACATGGCTCAATGATTGGCCCTAAGGGTCATCAAGAAAGTGCTCAGTCTAATACTTCATGATCGTAAATAGGCTGGTTCTTAAATAATCCAATAAAATATAAGGCCAAAAAAAAAAAAAAAAAAACCCAAACAAACTCGATAAGGCCAAATAGGGTGTGGAACTAGAGACCAAACTCATTGAGCTTCTAATTTCATACAAAAAACCCTATTTAGTTCTAGAATCACTCCATCAAAAACTCTTCGATTTGTTGGGGATCAAAGCTCCGGTCAAGAATCAGGCAAATCTTTTCATTTTGTTTGTGAGACAGTGATTGTTCATGTTAATGCTTGATTATCTGCAACAATTCCCACATAGCACTAATCTTGTAGCGTAGAGTCGGTGTCTCCTATCAGCTAAACTTGGATTATTTCTTTCTAATCCGCTGGAATCTCTCTTCTCTAATTCACTCTCGGTTTCTTTTAAAAGGCAATCTAATGGGGTTGCACATATCTTCACATGGTATCAGAGACAAAGGTCTACCATCCAGGAACTTAACACTCTCTGTACCTTTGTCTGCTAGACGTTCTATGTATGTTCGAACCTCATTTCTCTCCTAGGAGCTCTTTTAAAGAGTAATCTAATGGGGTTGGACCTATTCTCATGACTCATATAGATGTTGAATTTGTTATAATGCGAACCTCAACATCTTTCTTCTACACAGGACATGGTGAACAGCATTGCACTTTGTTTCTAATTTTTTCTCAGAAAGCTTCATCTCAGCCCTACCGATCAATGTCGATTTGATTATTTGCAGCCTAAGTGCTAGTATCAATTTCCTATTGTCGATTTTCCATTTTAAAGCAATAATAAGGCTGAAATATCAAGTCAATTTGTTTTCAACGAAGCAGTAACAGCTTCGAGATCTCTTCCATTTACATACCGCAATCAATGGAAGGTAAGAACAGATCACAAAAAACCACACGAAAAACTGATTTGAAATCGAAAAACATTATCGAAAAAGGAAAGAGCGAAAACTTACTATTGAGCTCACCGAGCCACCGTTTAATACTTTCAAAAGTAGTACGGCGACTAATGTCGTACACAATGAGTGCACCGACGGCACCGCGGTAGTAGGCGGAGGTGACGGCACGGAAGCGCTCTTGACCGGCAGTATCCCAAACTTGAGCTTTGACCTCCTTGCCGTCGATTTCCACCACCTGAGTTTGAAACTCGACACCAATGGTGGCCTTGGAGTGCAAATCGAACTCGTCTCTAGCGAAACGAGACAAGAGGTTAGATTTGCCGACGGCGGAATCTCCGATCACCACTATCTTGAAGAGATATTCCTCCCCTGCTTCTCCCTCCTCCATTTTTCTAGAGAGAGAAAGTAATGATAATGGCCTCACATCACAACGTGGGAACTTTTTAAAGGAAATACGGTACGCGTTTCATTCTCCCTCTGTCTCAAAACATACAATAAAAACACATTTGTCCAAAAATGAAAATTCATCAACCAAACTTACATTTTTTTTAAGCTGTTTTTTACATTTTATTTATATTTATATTTTAGGTAACATATTTTTAAAATTTTCATTTTGTTAACTAAGAATTAAACGGTTACCATGTTGATGTGGTATCCAACTAATTACTATTTGCTATTTAACCCAATTTCATCTCATCATTCGCCACATCAACATGGTAACCGGTTAATACTTCAACTGTTCACTCTGGTACTAAAATGTTTAAACCTTTACATCTTAAATATCAATATACAAGTTTTAAAAATACGTTACATGAAATAAGAATCAAGTTAAAGTACGTTATTTTTCTATTATTTCACAAATATTTTATATATATATATATATATATATATATTTTGTGTAAGTATCTTTTTTCTCTTCAGAAATGTAAATGTGTTAAACTTACAATTTTGGAAAGAGGTTATGAAAAACGGTTGAAACATAAATTTGATTGGTGAGATTAACTATTTCTATTAATTTTCTTAAAATCATACGTCTCATCTATGACACATTCATATTTTTATATAATTTAGATTTATTTTATTCAAGTTCATGTATCTTCATATGACTGGTGGATATAAATGAGACGTGAAAATTTATGATAAATTTTTTTATCCAAAATAAATGTCCACAATAAAAACGGTGCACAGTTTTAGGAATTAACAATTATTACACTTTTTAAATAACTAAATAACACTTTTATTCTTAAAAATAGGAAGAAAAAAAACTCTCTATTTCATAATTAAGGGCGGGGTTGTTTGACAGTTGCTGAATGGTTTGGTGTAGAATGATTAAGTGATCAGAATGATTAAGAGACTCTCATGATATAGTGCAAAGTGAAAATAATTATTTGGTAATTATTTACAACGAAATTAGGGCGCTGAATGGTTAAGAGAGACCCAGAATACAAAATCATTCAGAGGGTTTTAGAACCATTAAGAGACATACTTTTTTTTACCAAACAAGATTCAGCTCTTAACGATTCAGAGCTTCCTCTTAATGAAACTATTAAAAGGTAAACAAATAACCCCGTATAAACAGAAATTGAAAAGTTACTTTTGAAAGTGGATACTTATTTTTCTACAAATTAAAATAGTAATATGAAAACTTAATCTGGGATAGAGGGAGTATTTTTATTTATTTTTAGAATAAATTATATTTTTATTTATTTTAGAATAAATTATGTTTTAATCCCTATAGTTTGTTAAAGGCCATGAACTTCATTTTGTGGTTTTGATTTGCGGTTTAGTTTGTAATCCATTGTTATTTATGTCTCTGAGGCTTAAGGGTGATAACAAGTCAAGCTTTTTAACGAGCTACTCGAGTTCGAGCTCGTTTGTCTTAAGCTTAAGCTTAATAATTGTTTATATTGAAACCACAAGGGTGGTGTCGGATTGGTTTGAGCTTGGCTTCAAAGGTCAAAAGTACCAGGAGGTACCAGATTCAAATCCAAAAAGGAATAAAAATCCCCTTGTGGCCACGGAGGTTCAAATACGATGATTCCGGGCTATCTGTAAAGCAGGTGGTCGACCTGGGATTAGTCGGTTTGTATAGCGGGTTGGATATCCAGATTAATCAAAAAGAAAAAATTGTCTATCTTGAACACACACTAAAACTTGCTTGACTTAACGAGTCAAACTTCAAAACACCTATGGTTGACTCTCGTTAGAAAGCGTAATCGAGTTTTCTAAGTTGAGCCCTTTCGAGCATACACTTTTTTGTGCCAATAATGTTCATATAATCATAAAGACCGTATAATCAAAGTATAGAAATTATTGATGTCGAGCAATAAGTAAGCTAATTAAGTTCGAACCCGTAAATGAGTATCTAGCTCGAATTCGAAGTATTCATGCTCGAACCTTATTATGGATTCGTTATTCGAGTCGACTCGTTAATACATAAATGAAAAAAACAAACAATTGTAAACCATAGGATGAAAATAGCAACTAGTTGTGAATCATAATGTCGAAAACAAGAATGAATAATAAACTATAGGGATGAAAATTGTCATTTCAAAAGCAAAAGGACTTAAAATAGCAATCTTCAACAAACCACAGAGATGAAAAAAGTAACTCAGAGGTCGTTTACTAAACGCTTAATCGGTAAGTAATTATCGGGTAATTTTTTTGATCGGATGAACATGTCAAGGGCCAAGAATTTTATTCGGTAAGAGCGATGATAAGGATGAAGAGTCTTACCCGATAAGTGAGGGTGACGACTCTTATCTGGGTAAACGCTTACCAGATAAATTGTTGTATAAGATACGTTTTGATGTACTACAATCTTACTCAATAAAATAAAGTTATAGTGTTGACTCATAACGTTAAACGCTTACCATATAAACATTTAGATAAACGGCCCTTCACTCTTTTATTTATTTTATTTTTAGAAATATTGTTTATTTTTAGAAGCAATCCACCATTTTTTAGCTATATTTTTTAATAATAAAACTGAAGAAAATTTGTTACTATCTTTATTATTAACATTAAAACAATCATTTAATTACTTAATTTAAAAAATATAATAATTATATATTTCTAAATCATTTAAATATGAAAAATAAATCATTCTGTAGAAGATATTAATAATGATTATTAATGAGTAAAAGTCTTGAAAAAAACATTTGTATTTTATATAATAATTCCAAGTATTATTCCAAAATATTATAAACACTTGATATTTAATTGGAGAGGGAGTGGAGGGGAGTTTGCAGGGAATAAATGCGTAATTCACGGGATATTAACATGCTTTCCTTTTTTTTAAATAATAATTTTTATTATATATTTTAAATAGAAAAGTCTAAAAAACATTTCTCGTTTAATTTTTAATCTATTTTTTCAACTAAAAATCATTTAAAAAAAATTAAATGTTCGAGTCTCTGGACTATTTTGAATGAAAAAACATTAAAGTTTCATATTTTGAATGATTAAGAGTCTGATTTTAAATTAAAAAAGACCATCAAAATTTTACTAGTCGGTTAACGTAACTTTTTTGGATTAAAAGAATATAGGTAACCAATTTCTAAAAGTGTGATAATTTATTTATTCAAAAATGTTCAGGGACTTAATCAATCAAAATGAGAAAGTTTAATGATTTTTTATTCAAAAAATAGTTTACGGACTTAATCATTCAAAATGAAAAAGTTTAATGATTTTTTTATTCAAAAAAAAAAAAAACAATTTAGGGACTAAACATTTCAAAATAAAAAAGTTTGTTGGGTTCTTTTGAATTTTTCCCTATCTTTGATCAAACTAAAACAACCTCCTTTATATAAACAACTCTCAGAAATGTTCCAATCTTTTTGGAGGTCATGTTACACCTATAATTTTTATCTTTCAATAAAAAGTAATGCTATAATTTTATATTTGATGAAACACATTAAATAATGTAAAATTGGGTCCAAAAATCTATTCAAAATCACATATTTAACATGTTAAAGAACCACTTTCATATCTATAACTTAAAAAAACGATAACACCTAAAATAATCAAAAATCATAGAAGTAATTTCACCAATCTAAACATCTAACAAACATGGTATAAAAATTATTTATCATTGAAAAAATATATGGAGAGAATCTTGAAAAAACGAATCAAAGAACCAATCCAAACTGTTAGATTAAAGTAACAGGATTAAAACCACAAGGGTGATGTCTGATTGGTTTGAGTTTGGCTCCAAAGGTCAAAAGTACCAGGAGATCCCAGGTTCAAATCCAAGGAGAAATAAAAATCTCCTTGTGGCCATGGAGGTTCAAATGCGGTGACTCCGGGCTATCTGCAAAGCAGGTGGTCGCCCTAGAATTAGTCGGCTCGCATAGCGGGTTAGATATTCAGGTTAATAAAAAAAACAGAATTAAAAAGATGGTTATAACTTATTTTTTAATCGAAAATCGACGAAATATAATTAAAAATAGGAGCAAATAAATCACATAAAAAACGATCACTTTATTATCTTTAACTAAACATCCAATTGATATATTATTTTCATTCGGTTTTTTGTGATTATTCGATCCTTTTTTTAGGTTCTCTTCTGATTCAACCCCAAAAAAGCAAACAAATGATACCATAATTTTATTTCACACTAAACTTTTTACAAGTATTTGTTATAAACATAAAAGATTCAGGAATGCAGTTTCATGAACATGATTCCAAATGATTGTAATCTTCGAACTTGATTAGTTATGGAGTTTTCCATGATTACGGGGGAAGGGGACTGCATCTTGGATATCGTTGAGACCGGTGGCAAAAAGAACCATAACATCAAATGTAACGCTGAACCCCGAGTGCTTCACGGTTCCCTGCTTGCGAAGATCTAAATACCATTCATATTGTTCTTTTTGCAATCCAAGTTCGTTGATCCTACAACATATACGAAAATCTCTAAAATTCCATACAAGAAAAGAGCGTTCATTTACTATAATTCATTAGATCTATATTTTAGGTGGATTTGGTATGTGGACAGAATTGGACAGGTGGGCCTAGAATTTTTTTCCAAGTGGTGACATCATTTAATTATAAGAAACAAATATATAGAGACTTTTCACAAAATAATCATTGGTGTGTTGGTTAATTCATTGTTTTTCATATGTGAAGTCTTGTATTCAAATCTTTTATTGCAATCTTTTTAGCAACATAATAAATCTGAAATTAAAAGCTTAAAACTAGAAAGATGACATTAACGGGATTTGAACGCAGGTCTAGGGTGGGAGAAAAACATTGCAAATCAACTCTACCAAGAGAAACTTGTGTCATCATTGTAGTTTCAAAATATATACGGTGGCACACCACAAATTGATATGCACCATGCTATAATTTTTTACACTACGACTGATAAACGAAACGATGGCCCGTGCCACAGTATCCAATAGAGTGGGTCTGCTCCGGACTAGACCGACAAGTGTGAGGTAGACGAATGAAAGAATCGTGGACGGTTATAGAGTTTTAATTTGACATGAGTAGTTTAGTAATTTACCTATATTTTCCAATATCTTTGACTTTTGTTCCCTATTTTAGTGATTTTTGTCTCAATCAGTCATGTTCTATCTCAGTCAAATGTCACGTCAAACATGGGACAATCTTGTCTAATCCTGTATTAGGAATGTATTCAGTTTAAAAAGGGTATTTTAGGTCATGCTCATATCTTGTTTGAATTCTCTAAAACATCCCAGACTGGTTAAATCCAATAGGGTTCCACATACTCTCAGATGGTATCATAACCAAGTTTTACCACACTAAAGATTCCGGTACAATACGTTCTTGTTTAGCCCCCTCTTGACACTCGAAAACAATATGTGTCTGTCTAACCCCCTCTCGACACTCCAAAACAATTTGTGCCTGTCTAGCAACCATTGGAGGGGACGTGTTGGAGTCTCACATCGGCCAGACTCGACCATTTCCCTTCCATATATGTTGAAACCACAGTTTTCTCCTCAAAAGCTTTTTCAAACAGTTATCTAAGGAGGTTCTACATATTCTCAGATAAAATACAGTAGTTAAGTGTTGTTACCTGTTACTTAAATGGTTCGACCGTTCCTCCTTCTGGCTGCCCTGGATCAGAACTCCGACCTGCAGAATAAGTTTAATGGTGAGATAAGTCGACCATGCCTCTTAGAATGGCGAAAAGCCGAAAACGTACCTTTGGTACAATCACATCGAAGGCTGCAACCGTCTTCCCATCATCATTTAAACGCACATGGAATGGCTTTAGTTCTTTAGGATGATCATAGATAATAACCGGCTTCTTATAGAACTCATTGACCAAATAACTGCCTCACAAAAATGTGCCTAATTTTAGAATCACCCCACGAAAAATATACGAAATATTTTGTGTTAATTCGGGGCAAACCTTTCGTGTTCTTCGGTCAAAGCCACACCCCATCGGATCTTGGTTTCAAAGGTTTTGTCTACAACCTGAAGAAAACAATCGATTATGATGCTTGAGTCGACAAAAACACTATCATTGTTTGATATACTATAAGAAAACCGACTCTATAAGACATCAAAATTTAGGGTCTGTTTGTTAACAGCTTAATGAGCTTAATGGGACCCACAACTTATTCGCTCAGATATATACATGATTGTTTGGTAGTGGCTTATTCATTAAACTTGTAGGGGGAGCTTTATACAGAAAGCTAAGTTTGTTTTTTTCTTTCCAAACATGCCCTTCCTAATCAAGAACATGTTCCTTCCATCTAGGAAAAACCCTCAGAAACAAAAAAATCTCCAATCTATATTAATCCGTCCTAAAAAACTTGTTACAATGCCCAAATACATCCTATCAATTTATTACCACATTTTTATATAGAACACAGTTGTTTGGTGTTATAAAGTAGTCTATTATGACTTTCGGACTTAATTGAAGTCCTGTCAAGCAAATTTTGTTGCAGTGATATAAGTGAAATCTTACCTTGTCTAAAACTTCTACTGCTGTTGTGTAAGAAATCTTTTCAAATGGTGTCGATGCCATTGATCGAAGGCGATCGATAATGGTTTTGTCAACTCTTTTCGAAAGAAAGTAAAGATTTTCGTAACAGTTTTCCGAAGCATAATCGAATACGAACTTCAGAAAGTCTTCAGCACAACTCATCACATCCTGGGAATGCAACAAAAAAAGAGTTTAAATCAAGATGGAAAATGAAAAACCAAACAGAAGAGGGTTGTTTAAGCAAGAACTATAACCTCAAGTTCTGAGAATGCTATCTCGGTTTCAATCATCCAACTTTCCGCTAAAGATTTCTTGGATTCTGATTTATCTGCTTGAAAACGGGGTCCGAATGCATAAACATTTCCAAGAGCCGATGCACAACTCTCCAGATGAAGAGTTCCGGAGCTAGCAAGAAAAGCTTCGTTAGAAAAGAACTCGGAAGACTTTGATTTTGATTTTGATTTCGGTTTCGGTTTTGATTTCGATTTCGATCTTGCTTCTAGTTCTGCAGCCAATGCATTTGTTTTCTGAAGATCATGAACAGCTGCAGCAAGTGCTTCTTTGTTGCTATCACTTCTTTTAAGCTCTTCAACTTTCTTGCTTTTCTCAACAATCGAAAGCTTTATGGTCTCGAGGCTAACATTCGCTGTGTCGTCCATTGAAACGGGCTCTTCCCTTTTCGGTTCTTTAGCGGAAACGCTTGAAGTTGAAACTTGGAATTTCTCAGAAAATCCATCGGTATCCATGGCAGTTAAAATGGGAACTTCCACATGAACAAAACCTTGGTTTTGAAAGAAGGCATGACTGGCCTGAGTCAACACATTACGTACCCTCATAATCGATGCCACCTGCAAAACAAGAAAGCTTGTTCTCGTTAAAAACGACAAAAAGATTAGAAACGTGAAAATAGATATCAACCATTAGATGGATTTAATCCAAGAGATGTGATTAAAAAGGTAGTTACAACTTTATTTTAAAAGGCTGTCCCAGCCTATGCCTAAACTAATCCCGGCAAATTGCAATGGTAAGACATCAGTCCTGATAAACTCAATGGCCACAATTGTTGGGACGCCTGGAATCGAACTCAGGGCAGATGGGATATTCCACCACATCCCGTTGGCTCAACCACTACACCACAACCCTTGTGGTTGGCTACAACTTTATTGTTAAAACAAGAAAGATCCACCCCCCCCCCCCCAAATTTTTGATCAATTAAAGGCGAAATATAATCAAAATTGGGGCCAAAAAAGATGAGAAAGTTTACGGTAGTTGTTCGAGGTCTAAAGTGAGCACAGTGTCTCAAGCTAGCCAGGGGTAAACTTTTCTTTGACAAAGGATACCGGTCCTGATCAACTATCCCAATATGCAACAATTTCTCAGCTTTGAGCTCCATAATGCGTTTCCCCTGCAATGAAGACTTCTGCAAAATGCCCTCAGCTAGTATACAAGTTCCAGTAGGCATGAGCAGGCTTGGAGGAGCTATGGAAGAATCCACCATGATCTATAGTAAACAACATTGTTATAGAACTTGTACAAAAATTTGATCAGAACAAGTTGTGTGAGAATACAAGGAACCCCGTCATATTACTCTCCAAAAGAGCCCTTGAGGAGAGAATGAAGGTTCATACATATATACACACACATATGAACGGTTATTAGGGTGTCTTCAGTTTTTCATTTTTTTTGGGTTTCCCCATGAACCTCCCTCCCTCTCTTGTCTCCCTCTCTTGTCTCTCTCTCTCTCTCTCTCTCTCTCTCTCTCTCTCTATATATATATATATATATATATGCTGAAAATAAATGGTCCAACTCTAGCTGACGTGAGACGCAGCAGAGGTTAGAAGGGAACAAATTGTCCCAGTATCTGAGAAAGGGTTAGACGAGCATAGGTTGCCCCGGAGTGTCAAATCCCTATCGTGGCAAATGATGGCTCTAATACCATATGAAAAATAGGTGGAACCCCTTTAGGTTATTCTCTAAAAGAGCCGTTGAGAACAAAAAGGAGGTTCCAATGTATATTAAGAATAAATAGTCCAAGTCTAAGTAATGTGAGACTCTAATGAGCTGATAAAGGCGTTTTTAACCTGAAGGCTGGTCACAGAAGAACCATCACTAATTTGCAAAAATGAGATCATAGGAGGTTGTGGTTTTGGCACGATCGATTCCAGTTTTTCCTTGGTATGAGCAGTATTTCCGCCAAAGACTTTTATAATCGTTCGAAGGAAAGGAATCCGCGATTGAAAAACCTCAACACATTTCACATCTTTACCTCCAGCATCCTCCTTGGCATCACCACCACCCCCGCCCACTGGCGGCTGCGTGGTGGTGGGAGGAGGAGGCGGATTTTTCCTCATTTCTCTTGAAGACTTAACCCATCCTCCAACCACAACTCGCTGCTCAACCAACCCCAAACCTCCATCTGCACGATCCAGTATCGTTTTCAAAAGCACCCTTTTGGAATACTTTGAAAGAACTACTGGCATTTGATCAAACGGTTGGTGATCAGAGGCCATTTTGTATTAAATGAAGGTTTAAAAAGGTGAAATCACAAAAGGGTTTTGATGGGGTTTTGAAATTAAGCTTAAGATCGCAGATAAAGATGGAATTGTGGTTGGATTGAAGGATTTGAGGTAGGGTTTTATGAAGAGAGAAAATAGATGTAACAATGAAAGTCGATGCTTTTCTTGTGAAGGAATTAGGGATGATTGAGAGAAGAAGGAAGATGATGACTGAGGAAGCTTAAAGATGAAGGAAAAGGATGGTTTTTGGGTCTGAAATATGGCAATCGCCATTTTTAAGTGAAAGAAAGAAGAGAAAACGAGATGTAGAGAGAAGGGTTTGGTATTCTTTAAAGGTTGGACACTCAATTGGTTTTTCGCGGGAATTTAGTACCAGATTTTAAATTCTACCATTAATACAAGAAACATAACCGTTTTACAATTTTATTAAATATAAAAAGCAAAAAATATATATATTTAATTTATAAAATTCATAATTTCTTAACCTAATAATATGTTACATTTAATGTGATTCATTTTAGAAATGGGTCATTTACCAAACATTTACGGTTTACCCGATAAGTGTTTACCAAGTCATATTATTTAACCGAATGAACATGAAAAAGATCGAAAATCTTACTCGGTAAGAATGATAACAAAGACCAAGAGTCTTACTTTGTAAGTGAGGTTAATGACTCATACCCCGATTAACACTTACCGGGCAAATCATTGCATACAGTTTCGTTTTGATAAACTAAAATCTTACCCGATAAAGTAATTGATAATGCTGAATTATACTGATAAACGCTTACTGGGTAACTGTTTGGGTAAACTGCCCCCTAAATCTACACATGAAAGACGTTTTATGTTTATATCGATTTGAATTTTTCTATTTGACCGGAATGTATTAAAATCATTGTTTTAAAAGGCTTGCTATAACGAACGTTGACATATCGTAGCTCAATGCTCGTCTCTAACGCAATGTTAATCTTGTGACGCATCACAGATTTATCATAGTTTCTATTATGTATAGATGATGATGATGTAACAAGGTAAAAGAATAAAAAGTGAGATTTTTTAGGTTACTCCATCATGAATACCCTAAACTTTTGCAGAACTTATGGGTTGTTGACCAAACGCTTATCCGGATAAGCGCTTATCAAGTCACAATATCTTACCAGATGAATATGATAAAGAACCAATAATCTTACCCGATAAAAGTGAGACAAGGACCAAAAGTCTTACTCAGTAAGGATGATCACTCTTACCATTGCAAGTGTTTACTGAGTAAATTGTTGCATACGGTATCGTTTTGGTGGACTAAAATATTACCCGATAAGTAAATGATAATGCTAAATTTATCGGTAAGCATTTACCGAGTAAGTATTTTATAAACGGCTGCTTAGTCTTTTAATTTTAAAATTGATTTGTGTTTATTTTTGTTAATTGATTTCTTAAAATCAATATGTTAATATATTTTTTTAAAGTTATTTTTTGAAAGAGAAAAAGTGATCCATTATTAGCAAAATTAAATCGAGCAATATTTTTAATAATTCATTGATTACAATATTTTAAGCGTCATGAGAAGTAACAAAGATAAATGTCAAGTCTTACATGCCATGGTGAAGATATGACGTTTTTGAGAACAAGTTTGTCATATATAACTTTATGTTAAACCTTATGTATAATGTGAAATTTCTACATAAATTATGACTATTTAATAAAGCTGACTTCTAACATAGCTAAAAAGTGAAATGACTTTGATGAATTGGTTGTTTTTGTCAATTTCCCCAAAAAATGACTCCTATAAAAAGGAAATTTCAGTGAAACTGCTTTACAGAGTTTCTCATTAGACACAAGATTCCTGAACAAACATACATAAGGGCTACACAAGCAACACTAAGAAGATTGTGCTCCTCCATATACCCATGTAATTTTATGTAAAAGAAATGTAATTATATCAACCGTTATAAAAATTTATATCCCTTGTAAATTTGTCTTCTTAAATTATGGGAAAAAATTTCTATGAAGGTAATGTGTTGTTCAAATCTTTTGATTTCACTAAAGAACATTGCTTGTATCAATTTTATCAAGATCACATGATTTGGAATTAAAATGTGAAAGAATTTTTGAGAATCCAGTTATTTTTAAATTGTTTTTTTAAACTGTTTCACATGACAAAAATATATCTATTTAAAGTTATATGGTACAAACTGTGAAACTTACAAACTCATGATAAAACAACATTTATCATATGTTGATTAAAAGAATTATTAAGAACGAAATAAATGCTTTATAGACAATATTAACAAGAATATAAAAAGAGCAACATTCCCACGAAAATGTACACCTATGATGAGCATGATGCATCAAAGGCCTTTAGTAAAAATAAATGATTCCTAATACACCCACACACATTGCATGATGACTCAAGAAATGGGTTTTTCATCCGAAACATTACGTAAATGGGATCGTAAAGTACAAAAGATTGGCAACGAGTTGTTCACTCACAAATTTCAAAAAAATTGGTTCAGGGTCGGTATAAACTCATAAAGTATGTAGCAGCTTCAAATATGGTTCTGAAAGACAGTACTCAAAATTCGGGAGTCAAAAGATCATATAAAAAATTCTTTATGGAAAAAAAACGTGAAAAACAGATCCCACTTAATAGAGTTGGATCCAAAAATCTAAGAAATTGTAAGAATTCTTGATCTTTCACAACTCTAGAAATCCAAACTTCATGTCCTATCATTAAACTCGTCTTTGATTTAGTGGAATTAAGGGGCCGTTTACCAAGGCCTTACCCGATAAGCACTTATCGATAAAATTCAACATTATCATTTACTTATTGGATAAGATTTTAGTTAACAAAAATGGCATCATATGCAACAATTTTACCTGGTAAGCGCTAATCGTGGTAAGAGCCATTGCCCTCACTTATCGTGTAGGACTCTCGGTCCTTGTCTCGTTCTTACCGGGTAAGATTCTTGGTCCTCGTCTCGTTCTTACCGGGTAAGATTCTTGGTCCTTACCACGTTCATACAGTAAAATTATCTAACTTGATAAGCACTTACTCGAATAAGAATTTGGTAAATCGCCCCTAAGAAATTGTGTTTAAATGCAAAACCCTTAACCCTATACCATGACAATTTGGCCAACCTTTTGAAGACCTAAATAAGTTCAAGCATAAATGTGTCCTAGCTCTTAATGCCATGTCAAATCCATACAACTCAAGTAATTGGCTAAATGGAGCAATTTTTGCTTAATAAGCCTAATGACTTATTCATTCATCTCTTAAATAACATCGGTTTCTTGTTTGATATTTGAACGACTAAATTAGATAAATTATCATGTACTTATCGCTCATATTATTTCAGGGGCCGTTTACCAAACGCTAACCGGGTAAGCGCTTACCAAATAACATTACCTCACCGGATGAATATAGTAAGAACCAATAATCTTACCCGATAAAAACGAGACAAGGGCCAAGAGTCTTACCCGGTAAGTGAGGGCGACGACTCTTACCACGGTAAGCACTTACCAGGTAAATTGTTGCATACAATGTCGTTTTGGTAGACTAAAATCTTACCTGCCAAGTAAATAATAGTGTTAAATTTTATCGATAAACACTTACCGAGTAAGTGTTTGATAAACGGCCCCTTAGATATTGTTTAATATTGCAAGGAATAAGTATAGGTCCACAAGTATGTTAGAAGCAACCCTAATTATTGGAGTAGTACGAAGCTTCCTCCCAGACAGAAACCACTCTTCATGTGTTGTTATGGTCATCTTGCTGCCACCAGCCTAAGTTTAGTGCCACAATTGGATTTTGATGCAACTCTTTATTAAATTTAAAAGTAAAGCTTAATGATTAGGAAGAAAATTGCCCACTGATTTTTCCACTCATGCCATACGGATTCCTTTAAAAGCCATCTCTGCATTTAAAGCAATATACCTCACCATCTAATCATGACTCTCACACCCTCTATTCTACTAAACTTGTATATATAATTATATAGGGAGATGGGTTCAAATAAGTAAGACACCAAATAAGAAAACATAAAAATGAGTCGAAGGACATGTAATTTTACACTAAAATCATGTATGATTCGCATGATCTAAGTAGTCTATCCACCTTTGCTTTGATTGTGTTCTATAAACGCATGTAATTCAATGGAAAATTATCGTGTGATTTTGTTGTCCCAATATGTTTTTTATTTTGACCTTGCTTCCATTTGATCCTCCTCCTCCCTCTCTCTCCCTATACATATATGTATGTGTGTGTGTATGTATAACACTAACCAAATAAGAACCACAAAAGATTATAAACCCGTGAGAACCAATTTAAAAATATTTTTTTACAAGGTTTTTTCATCAAATAAGATATTGTTTCACATTTGTTTATGTTCGCTTTGTGAAAAAATTACACGTGAAACGTTTTTTTGTTCACTTAATGAACGAAAAATACACGTAAAAAATATTCACATGATGAAACAAATACATGTGAAACTATCATATTATGAAACAAATATACATGAATCAATATATTAAAATCCTAGTATTTGATGAAAACTATTTTTAAATCAGTTCTCACAGGTTTGTAACATTAATTTAGTTCTCATTTGATTTGACCCCTATATATATATATAACCCTGATGCAATTCTTGTCATAGTAGTGTGGTTTAAACCTTTAACCTCCTAAAAAACTATACTTTATAGAATAACCCAAATATTTTCAGGTCAGTAACACTAGGTAACTTATACTTTCCACCATTCTATTATTTTACTTATGCATTAAATCCATCTCTTTATTTCTAATTCTATCAAATAGAGATGTGAGCCACTATCACATTTCATCATCACAAGACCCCAAAATCAAATTTTTAAATGGGTCCAAGATATTAGTTTAATTACCTCATCGGCGTAATGATAGTGATCGCTGATTTCCATGGGACCACCAAGATCATTGATCAATAACCTTCAAAACCCATGAAAACTTTTAACACTATTTATACCAAATACTAGAAAGAAGATAGATGGAAAGCAGTTGGAAGTCATACCTTCAGCCATGTTTAAAAGAGGTGCCATCACATTCTCTGTGTTTGCCAACTCCACAACCATGGTAGGGTGGTGCCGAACTCGCCGGAGGCTGAGGAGGAGAAAGAGCAGCACAATTTGGTTGGGAAACAAGCGTAGAAATCTCCGTTCTAGATCACGGCCGGTGGTCCATTGGCGGGCGGTGGCTTCCCCGTTTTTTATCTTGAAGAAGTTCATCATGAAGATGGTATCCGAAAGAAGGTTCATGGAAGCTTATTATTTGACATTACCAATTCTCCAGCCCCAACTATTTCCTTTGTGTTGACCGGATTAATCATCTGCTTCCGGAAGAAATCCTACAAGAACTGTTCGTTCTTTTTCCTCTAACAGATGGTGTTGAATAGTTGCTATATCTTGGGGTGTTTCATGTGTAACGATCATAATATTTACCTTAATTATCAGTAAAATCAAATGACATCATAAACTTGTGCTCAAAGTTTGTCCAACTGTTGTTACTTTCAACTTAATTAACTTGGTTGTATTATTGCATATAACGTATCGTATCTATGATCATGCATTACAAGGCAGGGGTCTTCACAGAAATAACTGCTCTAGTCTATGGGATAGAGATCAAGTCTGCATACATCTTACCCTCCCCAAAGCGGCAGACCCCACTCTAGGTGCGATATACGGGTTCGTTTTGTTTGGCTTGGTTTACCTGTGCCTTGGTTTGATTTCATGCCATTTATTTTATGGGTTCTTACAGTCTCGACTTCAATGTAATCCGAGTCGTATCTCAAGCTAAACAAAACCCTAGCCAACACCCACATTTAAAAAAGGTAATAACAAGGTTTTAAAAAGCGGAATCGGGACTCGGGGTGTTTTCCTTCCACGCCTCAAGGCGGCCCGAGGTGTAAAACAAATAAAATTCACAAATATTAATAGCAAGCAAAACATAATTCCACACCAAACTTTAAACATCATAAATTCATAAAATGCTAGTTATAAGTCTTTAAACATATCAATCTACAACTTATAGTTCCCCATAGCATGATCAAGTTATATAGCTCCACAATCATAGTCATAATCACTATCACTTTCATCTTCCAAATCCACAGAAAAAAAAAACTGAAAATAATATAGAAAACATAAAATATACAAAAAAACATACATAAGAGATTATACATATAGAAAATACATTATACATGATATAGAACATATATATTTGACTGAAATATATATAATATAATATAATGCATTACACATAAACTAAAAATATATGGACACAAACTAAAAAAAACTTACTTTTTGGGTTGGTTTTGAGATGAATATCTTCTTGAGAGAGGAAAAAGTAAGAAATGAAGAAGAAAAAAATAGGGTTTGGAGAGGCGTGCGCCTCAGAAACGCCTAATGCCTCAAGGTAATGCGTCACCAATTGAGGCTTAAGCCTCGTCCAGGGCGGCGCCTCATGAGCGGTTTTGGATCGCCTCGCCTCGAGGCGTACGCCTCAAACAATTTTGAAAACCATGGTAATAATATAAAGTTAATGTACTGCTAGCATAAGAAAAGTAGTTGAGATGGGAAGTGTTGGAGTCCCAAATTCGCTAGACTTCGACCATTTTTGTTAAATATGTTGGCAAGTCATTTCTCTCCTCGATGGCTCTTTTCGAAAGATCTGATGAGGTCCACATATCTCATATGGTATTAGAGCCAAGGTCTACGACTCTAGGGACTTGACACTCTAGGGCAATATGTACCCTTTACTTTGGGGAAATTCGTGCCCGTCTAGCCTCCTCTCGACACTCGTGGACAATTTGTCCCCATGTAGCCTCCATGGCAAGATTTTAACCATTTCTGGTCAACGTATACGTGGGGGGACTTCATTAAAACAACCGCTCTACTCTTTAGGGTAGATGTCAGATCTGCATACATCTCACCTTCCCCAAACCCTACCTTGGGGTATGATATACTGGCATTATTTGGTTTGGTTTCACCTTTATGTCCTCAAGGACTCTTTTAGAGAGTAACCTGATGGGGGTCCACATATCTCACATAAAGTATAAACAAAACAGCGGTTACATCTGACGATGGTATCCTTAGTTAAGCTAGAGCGATAAGAGTTAATTGCTACAACAAAAGGATGGCAAAAATCCACTCTCTAATACGAGTCTATTTACACTATCTGCTAAAAGTAAGGACTAACCTTTGCCAAAATAAGAGAATAGTGTTTTCTGTTTATCACCAGCACTCTTTATGGCCTTCCTTTTAGCTGGGCTTGGATACTGCTTGTCAGCTTCATCAACGGATGGTTTTCTATACTCATCATACTCACGCTTGAGATGCGAAGTGTCGGAAACAGAAGTTGGTGTGGAGACATTAGACTTTGATTCATCACAAACTTTGTCCGAATGTGATTGGTGGTCGATGCAGTCTACAGTGGCAGGTTCCTCTTTTAGGCTTTGTGGCTTTTCAGTTATGGCAGGCTTTTTATGTGCAGTTATAATGTAAGGCTCTGATTGATTTTCCGTTTTAGTGCTCTTTGCAAAGAACATTGAGATTGGTTTTGTTTCGTTGGTCTTTATTTGAATCTGCAATCAATCAAAATTCAACCTTAAGAGACTTGAAATGATCTCAGTTAAAGCTCAACATCACCATTGAGGCTAACATTAGTGCTAATATGATCACCATCTCGGATAGCGTTCGTTTGGTTTGCTTTGGTATGGTCAGAACTCCCTCCGTCCTAAAATAAGTGTCCATGTTGCTATTTTAGTTTGTCTGAAAATAAGTGTCCACTTTCAAAAGTAAGCATATGTTTTCAAATGCTACCCTTGAATATAAGCCATTAGTTCCTCTACTATTAAGGGTGAACTTGTAATTTAGTTAATTAAAAGTGTGATGATTGCACATTTCTAGAACTGTTTTTTATTGTGAACGTTTATTTTGGGATAGAGGGAGTAACTTCTATTCTCATGAATCATGATCACTGATGTAAAATCATGCCATACATGTAAATGTCTAATACATCACCCTTTCACGATACCTCTTTATAAAGTCGGCCAATTTTGAATATATAAGCATACCTCCTTGATACACTCTGGTCCATCAAAAGAAGGCTTGCCCATTGCAGGTGTCACGGGGTACCAAACCTGAAACAAGCTCATCCCTCAAAAATATTAAATTCAAACCTACCAGTTCTTTTCAGATGATGAAAATGTGTTACAAGATCTGTGCTCTTACCAAGTCTAGCTCCTCATATGGCTTAAGTAATGAATCAAACTTGGAAGACGAATGTCCATCTAACCATTCATCAGTCGATCCCTTATTCCCTAATATAACAGGCATCCTGTCTACAATAGGCGGAGTCCAATTAACTTAGCATGTTAAAGTTGAATGCATCAGAAGTGTTAATATCATTGTCCTGGTAAGAAACAGTATCTTCTCCTTCTAATACGGCCTCTCTTTCGTTTTTCCTTTATTCTTTGTTTTTGTGGTGGGAAGGGGTAAATTATGTATGCCAGAAAATTTCACTTTGTGCATTATTAAACCTAATAAAACACACCCGGTATATCCACATGGAGAGGTCGGGTGGGAGGGAGATGTATGCAGACCTAACCTCTATCCTCAAAGGGTAGAGTGGTTGTTTCCATGAAGACCCCCGACTTGACTCACATTGCATTATATGGATGTTTTATCTATAAAGAAAATATATACCCAACAGTGCCGGAGTGGAATGTAGAGCAGCTCTTATCTTTACGAGAAGGGTGTATAAATTCCAAAAGGTCCTTAGAGTAAACCAATTTAAAGTAACTTACCAAACATAAATTAGAATATATGAGAGAATAAGACTCATGTATCAACCAAAGGAGAGGTAACTAACCATGCAGCCAACCAAGGGCTGACGAAGAACTTGTAGTCAAAATAGTGAAGGTGTATTGAATCTCCCCTGAAGCACAAAACACAATCATTATGGTCATTAAATGAAGATAGGCGTACACAAAAAATCACAAGTAGCCTCCATGTTTGAAGCCACCATTATCTTTTTGCCTAATACTTAGGTAGAATAACCAACCTAAGACAAGCATATTTTGCAGCAATCTAGTAAACAGGTACGTTTAATTAGCATGGTAATAAACTTATAAGCACAATACATACAAGAATAAGGTTGCAACCAGCATCAAACACAAAACTCACTTCTGCAATATAAAAAACAAACCAAAAAGAACGCAAAAGATTGTGACACCTTCAGAGTTTTTCCAAGAATCATACAGAGCAGCAAATACAAGGGGGCGTTCATCCTTCAGATAAATATAGTACGGCTGCTTTTTCGACCCATCTTTCTTCCACTCGTAAAATCTGAAAATTGTAAACAAGGCTTAAAAGACGGAACATTGCAGCATCAAGTAAGATAAGTTTATCAATATTTAGAAGTATAAAGGCAAGAAACAGAATCCTGCAACATCAAAGACTTAACAAGTGTATCAGACTACCAGTGATTCAGACATAAATGTCAAAGCAGTTGGATTAATACCAGATGAAATGAACTTCCCATATGAAGCCACTAATTACCGTAAGATCTAGTGAAATCATGCTGAAATTAAACACCATGCACACTTCCACTTGTAAGAATAACTGTGTTTCTACAAAAATACTTAAGAGTTCATACAAAACTTACTACTTACCCTTCCACTACAACCAGACACCTATTTGCAGGAACAAGACGGCGGAAGGAAGCTTTTTCACCTATTGACTCCGATCGAGCATTGAACTGGAACCCACAAGAACAATCAGTCTGAATAAATATAATATTACTAAAATCATAATATAGGGTGTAATATAAATCAAAACAAAGACAGACACAATCCATTTGGAAATGCATATAACAGAAATATAGTTTTATTTGAAGACTGCTATTTGCATCCTTATTGCTATGGCCTCAGAACAAGCTGAGTGTATCCGGTCAAAACAAAACATGCAGATGTTTTTGCTGATACATCTACCGATCTATGTGACCCCAAACATCAATTTTGAGAAGTTATGGAGTCTGATTAATTGGCAGTTGGGCCAAATATTAGAGAAAGGAAAACTCTCCAGTTTGTGGGTCCAGCCCACGTGGGAGTTTAACCTATTTTCACTCTATAAATTCAATCTTATTCAATTGTGAACCCTAGCCGTTAAAATTCCTTACTAGGTGTGGTCGTGGACTAGCTTGATCAAACCGATCAAGTGAATCACATAAATCCTGTGTGTGTTCTTTCCTTTTTTCTGTTTTTACTTTACCGTTGCCATGTTCGTGTGCGTGATCTTCAGCATCGTTTCCTAACAAATTTCACCTCCAACTTTAACCATAAAAGGTAAAGCATTCAAAAGTAGCTATTTGTAACTTGAGACATTACCATCCTGTAATAGTCAGGTTTTTCAGTCTTCTTAGTGAAACTTGGAATAAGCCCCCATTTCATACACTGCACAACAACTTCTTCACCATCTGCTCCCAGGGCTCTTCGAACGACAGGCAAGTTTGATCCAGGAGAAACATTATATGCCGGACGATACCTGAAATTCAATCAGCGTAAGCAGCTTCCAATGAACCATTACATATAACAACTACATTAAGACTTCAGTAAAAGTTTCTTTATCTTCCATAATTATGAACACATTTCTGATGATGACTCCTTGAAACCACAAACAGTGTTGGTTGCTATATATCGAGTAATGAGGCAATATGAGCATGTCAAGATCGATTTCAAGTTGTTTAGATATGTTGGCCAGTAGACTGTTCAAAATCTGATAAAGAGTCAGGTTTTTCACTTTCCCCCACTAACGTATTTATAATTGTGGTATATAACATGTAATCCCTCCATCCAAAATATATGTCCACAATTCGAAATACCCAAAGTCTTAGGAATGTGTAATTCTTATATTTTTTAATTAACTAAACGACAATTTTACCTTAATAATAGAGGGAATAATGCATTTCTCCATAGCATATTTACGGGTAACGGGTAAAATTATCTGAGACAAACTAAAATAGAAATGCGGATATTTATTTTCGAACCGAAGGAGTATTTCTCAAGTTTCAGAAGTATATGCCACTTTCCAACATTCGGAGTCTAAAGATAAAGGTTATAGTGAGTGCCTGAGTGGTACGCTTAAGATCGGAGGACCATTGATCACCCTAGACTAACCTAAACTGCTAATTTCAAAGAATTATCTATGCAACTGAACTATAACACATGAAGCAAAGATAATCGAGCAGGAATACCGATACTGCAAGAATTAACCGATGATTATAATGATTTTCGAACTGTGTAATAAGGTAATATGCTATATCTGGCTCCGACAACACTAATATAAGATCAAATATCCTCCGACTGTAAAGCTCACAGTCGACTCGCGAAAATAGATCAAACCGCCAAGTCGCCAACATGAACATAACATACAAATTAGCAATCTCCGAGTTCGGTAGGCGACGAACTTACAGGTCTGTATAGAAGAAACGGTGTAAATTAAAGTAATGAGTTAGGCCAGATTCCAACAATATAAACTCACAACACCATAATAGAATCAAATATCCTTCGATTGCAGAAGCTCAATGTCCGGTAGCGAGTATAGATCGAATCGCCAACATGAACAACTAGTAAACACGTGAATTAGAGTTATACGAGCATGTGTGTGGCGACGGCGAAAGGAGAGGAAGTTACCGGTCTGTATCGACGAAACGGACGGGGCGGTTACCGAGATTGCAAGAGCGAGGGATATCGTCTGGCCGGAGAGAACATCGACAACGGCCGCACATGATTCAATATTGCTATGTCGCCTATGTGTGTGAACTTCGTCGTCCTCCACCGTCTGTTCACTGTCTGGGAGTAGTGGTCAATCGAAGTAAGGCGGGAACGTAAGTAGGGTTCTGATAAGGAAATATATGAAAAATAATTGTGTCATCTTTGTAACTTGTAAGTAAAAATGATAGGGCCGGAGGCCACTTGATAAATTTAATTCAACTAGAAGGTGGTCGGTTGCGATTAGCACAGTTTTATTTATTTATTTTTAATGTTATAATATGATTTTATATGGTTTTAAAAAAAAATATTTTTAAATGAAATGTAAGTTTGAAGATATCATAAAATCTTAAAAAAAATATATGAAAAAATTGCATGAAAAAATAGCGTACTTTAATTTGATTCCTATTTTGAGTAACATTTTTAAAACTTTCATTTTAGTACCTAACATGTAAAGTTTTAAACATTTAAGTACTCGGGTAACCGATTGAAAACTAATTTTAGATTAAAAAATCCATGTTACTAACCATGTCAGCAAATAATATTGAGTTGGATATCACATCAGCATGATAACTAGTTAATGTTTCAACCGGTTACTCGGATAATTAAATATTTAAAAGTTTACATCTTAGATACCAAAATGAAAGTTATGAAAGTACGTTGCCCAAAATATAAATCAAGTTAAAGTACGTTACTTTTTCATATAATTGATACTAGTATCAATTTAACTATTTAAAAGTTATTGTTTTATTGTGTAATTTCTTTAATTTAATTTTTATGTTATAACTTACTTTATGTTTAATAACGAACTAATTTATTTTTATTTAATAATATTATTTTTTATAAAGATGATAGTTAAGTATTTTATTGGAACACAATGAAAATCCTAATTATATTTTATATTTCTACATTTAAAATGAAATGTTTATTATGTATTTGATTATGTTTATCTGCAGTTAGTTATAATAGTTCAAAAATATAGCTTTAATAAGTTGTACTTATGCATTGTTTTCTTAAAGTACTGTTTATTAATATATATTTTACTTAAAATTCAATACTACAAGTAAATTATGCGTATATACAGCTTATTAATGTTCCATGTTTAAATTCATATAACTAACTGTGGATAAACATAATCAAATATTAGATATGTATCTCATTTTAAATATAAAAAAATCTAAAATATATTTAGGATAATTATTGAATTTTAACAAAATACTAATTATTATCGTTATAAAAAACTAAATGACTTCATTATTAAATTCAAATTAAGTTATAATAAAAATTTTGAATTAAATAAATTACACCCAAAAAAAAATTAAAATATCTAATTTGATACTAAAATCGATACATTTTTTTTTCAAAAATTTATTATACCTCCAAGTTTATATTTTATTCAAAAAATAAAAAAATTATTATTTTTTCATTACTACATAAAATCGTATTGTAACATCGATAGAGACATAATAAAACAAAACATTAAAATCAATATGTATCTCCGCTCTATCTGCAAAACAGATGGTCGCCCTAGATTAATCGGCTCGCATAACGAGTTGGATATCCAGGTTAATAAAAAAAATAATATATATCTCGTTACAATGTGTGTGTACTATTCTGGTAACAATAATTAGTAATTTATATTTTGTAACTAACAGTGATAAGAGTATTTTTAGATTAATATTAGAGTAAATTATGAAAATCGTCCCTAAAGTTTATGCAAGCTACAATTTTTATCTACAACTCTTCGAAATTACAAGAAACGTTATCAAGGTTTCATATCCGGTGGGTTTTTGTCCTTCCCTGCTATGTATGTTATGTATCGTTTAGTGCCCTTACATGATGAGCATTTCTGTCATTTTTGCCAGTGTTGCATAAACTAATATTTATTGTACAAAGTACATCGACATTGATGGCTTGGTTTGCTTCGGTTTGATGTAGGGGGGGTAATCAAAACCATAGCGACAAATCCGTTTTGGCAAATTCCTTAGAGTAAACAAAACCACAAATGCCATAAAAATCACACATACAATCACTGAAATATGAATCAAAGTATGGATATTATAACAAAAAAATAAACAAGTTCTTTTGAATGACGGATACGTTCTTTTGAGTTATAAGCACAAGCTCGTCTTGATACCATTTCATTTGAGCTCAAAAAATCACGATTTTGGTTTCCGAACCATATGGTGATTGAATCAGTGTGAAAAATAAAACTCTTGAATGACGATAATAATCAAACAATGCATGACTTTCAATATTGAGATTTTGATTAACGTAACACAAAAGTGCATGGAGTGGTGCTGGTGATGGGGCGTCAGAAAAGTGACAGTTGGTAACGGACTACACGAGAAGGAAGACTTTTTTATAAAAAAATAAAAATTATCAAATTGCTTTCACATGAGGCACTTAACAGACAAATTCTAACAAACCTAATGTTCAAGGATATAAAGCACAACAAAAAATATAATTTGGAAGCGTTTCTTATAATTTCAAAAAATACGACAACCAGCGTTTTATAATATACTATTAGTATTAAGAAAATGAAAAACAAGAGTAAATTATGCTTTTCGTCTCTATGATTTGTTTAAAGTTTAACGATTTTCGTTCATGTGATTTGCAATTCATTACTACTTTCGTCTTTCAACCTAACTCCTACTTTTGGCTGCATTTGGTACATGGGATAGGACAAGACATGACAGGAAAAAACCCTCTGTCCCACTTTTTTGCACGACATGAGACAAAACATAAACTCATCGTCCCACAGTGGTACAAGACGAAACAAGAATGACACAAAAACTAAAATAGTACTAATTAACCTTGTTTGATGCATAGTCTTGATATTTGTTTTAGTGTTCACCACCGCTAGTTGCGGTCGTCGCCACCATCGGTAACTACCGTTGGCCACCATCACCTCATCCACCACATCCACCACCGTCCTTCGCCACTACCATCGTTGGCCACTTCCGCTTTCTTTTTTACTACAACAACCTCCTTCACCACCCGCACAACCATCGCCGGCCACCGACCACCGCCATCCATTGCGACCACCATTACCACCGCTGGCCACCTCCACATTCTCCTATACTACAACAACCTCCCCCACCACTTTCATAACCATCGTCGAGGACCGACCAACACCGTTCATCGCCAACACCATAAAGCCACCTCGCATCCACCATAACCCACCACAATCAGCTTCCACTACCACTGCACGCCACCATCGGCTACCACTACCATCGTCGACCACCACTAGCACTGTCTACCATATTTACGTCCTCCACAAACCACCACCGTCCATCTCCACCACCAATAGTATCGTCGACCACCACCACATATACCATAACCACCACAATTGCCCACCATCACACTTACCTCCATTACATAGGCTACAATTACCTTATCCACCACTGTCGACCGCCATCACCACCACTATCCACCATCTTCACGTCATCTACAACTACCATTGTCCACCAATTACCAATGCTTCTACCTCTACAACCATTGTTGTTGTAAAAATCTTCACCGTGCCTTCACCGATTGATAAGAATATTTCAAATAAAATAAAATCACAAGTTCTCATATCTATGAATTGAGTTTTTTCAAACTATCATCAACTATATAAAAAAAATCATCCAAACTTGGTATTATTTTTATATTTATGCATACGAAAATCGTGTAAAAATGTTTATAAACTAAATTATTTATTTTATTTATGTTAATTATAACTATTATATGGTATATAAAATCGTAAAATGACTTTTGGGAGCAACTTGTCTAGTTATGTTATGTCTAGTATTAGTCATACCAAACATCAGACAAACACTTGTTTTGTCCAGTATTGTCATCAGGAGTGCTTAAAAACCCGATCAAACTCAACACGAAATAATTCAACCCGAAGCAACCCGAATGTCTAATCGAGTTGTAACATCTTCAAACCGTAGATATTTGGTTGATATGGAGTTACTTTTATTTGAACCATCCCAACCCGATGAACCCAATATCATTTATTTCTTGGTTTTATATTACTGTCGAGTCTCTATTAACATGTACATTAAACAATCACAACATCATGTATCCTCTTCATATACATATATTTTCAATCTATTATCCATCTATATATAACTATCTCATTTGTATACATGTTTAGTAACTGTGAACACACACACATGTATATTGAAAATATTAATTGAATGTGATATACTTAAGATTTAAGAAGTATGAATAAGTTGTACCAAATGATTGATGATGAAAATGAAATTATGAGTAGTCTAGAGAAAACAACATATTCAAGGTTGAGAAAATATTTCGATGCATCAAAGTATCAATCCGACTAACCCGTACGATTTTGGGTTGGGTTGGATTGCATTTTGGTTTGAGTTAGGTTGAGTTGAGATTTTTCAAGCCACAAACATTGAATTGGGTTATTCAAATGCTTTCAACCCGATTAACCCAATCCATAAACAATCCTATCTGTCATGTCTTACTCTTTTGTCCTGTCCAGTTTTGTCATGTTCAGTCCTGTCTAATAATGTATGCATACAAAATGCTACCTTTACCAAGTACAAAAAACGAGAAAAATAAATAATCATAAATTACAAAGACAAAAATATCAATGAGTTGCAAATCAAAGGGATAAAAGTCGCAATTATAAAACACAGGGACAAAAAATGTAATTGGTTACAAATTACAGGGATGAAAAACGTAATTACTAAAAAAACAATCACATCCCAAACACCAAAATCACATACGCAGCCACCAACGAGCCCCTATCTCCCTTCCGTCAACTACTCGAATGCTTTCACTTGCACGGCGGTGCCGGAGATCCCTCCAATGTCTCCAGCCGGTTGTCTCTCAACTACAACCAGCGAGAGCTTTCGTCGGGTCCGCTCCTCCAAACCGTAGGCGGTCGAAATTTACACCGGCGGCCTTGAGAAAGACCGATGACAAGTCCGAATGGTGGGTAGTCGATGGAGAAATGCACGAAATAGGAGAAAACGTGCCTCCTCGAGAGAGATTCGTTATACCTAGAGATAACATCCCTAACAAACGGCGTAAGCAGCTCCGTGAACAATTTATGCGCCGGACTCGCCTCGTTCTCAAGGAATCTGTTAGTTTCTTACTTACGATTTTGATTCTCTGATATCCATCTGCGTAGTTTTCTTATTTACGTCAATAGTAGTTTTCTTATTTTCGTCAATAGTAGTTTACATCAACAGTGAATATTACTCATTTGACGTTATGTATAACTTGATCTGTTTAGCGGTTAATCTGAATTATAGGGTTCTCAAATCAGGCAATCCAGTCAATTGGAATCATTATTACGATCATGTAATTACGATGAGCATGATGGAAAATCTTATATTAAGTGCTCTTCATATCCTAGGAAAATTACAGTTTTGTGGTTGAATATTTGACACTTGAAATTAATAAACATACTTTGCAAATTCTGCTGGAGTGAAGATGCTATTACATTCACATATTTTTCTTCAAGTACTGAAAATCAGAATTCCACAAAAATGTAATAGCATCTTCATCCAAGAAGAAATCCCAAGTATATTAATCTCAGGTGACAAATTATCCAGACAAAAAAGTTCGATCTAGCACATACATAAAAATAACTTAATTATCCCACGAAGTCAAGAGTATTCAATGTTAGGTTTTGCCTCGATGCTCTTCGCAATTAGAGCATCTCCAGACTCCAATGCAAGGTTCTTATTAGCAAAAAGTGAAGCGGCTTGTAGGAACTACCATTGTGGACAGTTCTTATAAGAACCTTATCCTCTTTAGGTTCTTACCATGAAGTTTGTGAGAAGTGACATTTTCCTAGTTTTTATTTTGTTTTCTTGACTTTATAATTATTGTTGATGTTGCAAAAATCAACGGGACACACAAAAAGGAGGTTCTTATAAGAACTATCTTTGTGGACTTTTAGGAGAGTTCTTAATTTGATGAGTTGGAGATGAGGTGGCAACAAAAAGTGCAAAAAGAAGGCTCTTATAAGAACCTCCATTGGAGATGTTCTCATATAGCCATAACAATGATTCCAAATGACAGGATTGCCTAATTCGAAAAACCCTATAGAGAGGGAAGGAGCTCGAGAGAGTGCCTCCCACCGACTTGGCTCGGGCCTAAGTGAAAGTTAAGTGGTGGGCCTACCCATTCCAACTAGGGGTATGTTAGGAGTCGCGAAGAGTAGCACCTTATAATGTTGAATTGTTTTACTGTTAGCTGCTAAACAGATCAATTGTTCCTTTTGTTGATCAGCAAAGGGGGAGGCAGGACATGAACCCATGACTTTTAATTTATTAGTAGCACCTGGTGTTGTACCATTTTTCAAGTTATATCACCTTGTTTTTACTTACTTTGTGATGTTTTACTGAAGGAGCATGAGCCTTGGTGCAAGAAGTACATGGAATTGTATCAGGAGCTTAGAGAGAATTGGGAGAGGATCTATTGGGACGAGGGTTATTCCAAGAAACTTGGTCAAGAGCGAGCAAGTTATGACTCTGCCGAAGACGACGATGATGACTTTTCACCTTACAGGTTTCCTACATTTGGCTAGTTTTTTAATTATGAGGTTAAATGGTTGTGCTTGAACTTGCTTATATATGTCTATTCTGGACCTTTGTCCAACAAGAAATCTCTTGGGGTGCGTTTGGTATGCAGACGAGACAGGATGAGATTGGATGGATGAGAGAAGGTAGGAGGTGATTTTAGGGTTTTAATTTGACATGGACAATTTAGTAATTTACCAAATCTTGTCTTTTATCGCCCTGATTTTCTCCACCTGTTTTTGTGGGACAGAAAAAAAAAATGCATTTTTGTTCTAGATGCTGTCCTGTCTCAGTCTAATATTGCGCCCTGAACGTGTGGCGACAAGTTTTTTTACTCTACTCTCGTGTACGTGCTGTCCTTGTCTTGCTTACCAAACGCACATTTAGTTCACATTGGGATTCTTATTTCCAGATATGTGTAAAACCTTTAGTTATGCTCTACCTTTTACTGATTCAAGAATTTGCGTTCTCCCCAATTTTATATTAACCATTTATTTATCAATTTTGTTTGCAGAAGAAAGCAACATCATCATGAGGAAACAAAGGTACTTGATGCTTGGTTGCTTACTATTGGCTTGTATGTGATAGTTCTACATGTATACGCTGATTATACTGATTATACTGATTATAAGCTTTGAAGACTCTAGCCATTACAAAATATATCTGTGAAGGCTATATATTTTGTGTTATGGACGTTGCCTTTCAGTAGGAAAAAAATGTTGCCTGATTCTACAAAAACACAATCTTGCACTGCAATTTCTGCATTGGTGAACTAATGATAATATCCTTCATGATTATATCAGGTTCTGCAGTCACATAATAACACCGTAAGTTGTATATGTTGCCGGCAACAGAGTGCAAATTGCATTAAAATGCAGCGTACTTTGATAAAATTCCTATTAAGTGCATTTTCCTGTAATCTCAGATGTGAACCAGGTACCTAAATGTTTGAGACGTCACGTCCGAGGTACCAAAATGAAGGTTTTAAAAGTGTCACACAAAATAGGAATTGGATCAAAGTAAGTTGTATTTCCATGCAATTTGCCTGACCGAATCTATGTGTTAGGGGGCGGACTTAAGAAGACCGGGCACTATCGTGCTGATGAAGTGGAGATCTTTTAGAGGTCTTAAAGATGCACCCGCTTTAAATTGATGTGGGCTTGCTTAAGTTAACAAATAGTGGCTACAATCTACTAGTAGTGTCATTGCATATGGCATTAGAGGTTGCAAAGTTAAAACCCCTTTGCCTCTTTTTTCAATTTTTTGGTTAACAACAATAGAAAAGAAGGCACTTGTATGTTACAAAAAAAAACCTTGTTCGTCATTTTAATGAAACCGTACTTTTTGAATATAATTTTATTTTATTTTATATTAGGCTAATTATTTTGTGCCCCCACTTGGATTTTTTTTGAATCCGCCTCTGTATGGGTTGTATTCTTGGTTAGGAGATTGTTAAATGCTTCTAGTTGGCACAGGTGATTGTTAAATGCTTCTAGTTGGCACCCTTCTTGTTTAACGTGTTGTTTTAAATACATAATCCTCTCACCCGCTCGTTCTTTGGCTCCTTACTTAAGATACATCACCAATGACAGCGGTTTTCCGACTCTCTTAAATGTTATATTGTTTTGTTGACCATGTAAGTTGTATATCAATTTACTGACTTTTGAAAGCAGAATCATGCTTTTGGGAGAAATGGGCAGGGAGATACAATGGAAAAGGTAGGCATGATTCGAGATAAGTTTGAATACGACCGGGAGAGAAGAATGAGAGATAAAGGTTAGTTACTGCTTATGGTGTACACATTTAAGGAGCTTATGTTTACACTACCATAGTTAATCAAATCATAATATGTGTGCCGGTTTAGATCTTATGATTCTAACTCCTTGGTTCTACAAGATCTTCCTACATTATGAGATTATGAGCTAAACAATCATTTTATTATGAGTTAGGGGAAAGTTCAAATGAGAACCATAACTATTTCATATATTATTCATGATGAATAACTGTGAATAATCATGGATATTATGCAATTTTATGAATCATGATATCATGCACTTTTTATTGTGCTTATTTTCATTATGAATAATTTTCATCATGAATTTCCTAAATGACATTCATCATGAAGAAAACATGAATGTTGGTTACCAGGTTCTCCAAATATTTATGGTTCTCATTTAAACCTCCCCCTTATGAGCTATATACAGTAGAAATGATTAGTTTTGTTCGTCAACGAAAAAGCGTT